CCATGTATATGTGGCTCCTGTTGTATCACCGCCAAGGTAGTACAACCCGTTCTCGCACTTTCATTAAGTCAATATTGACATTAAATAAGTGCATATGTGACATACTAATTTATTGTGAATATTTTAGCTTACCTTGAGAAGCTTCATAGAAAACACCGACCATACCTAACCTTCTTAGTATGTTAAGATAAGCATCTTATTGCTTCGTAATTACAATTATTACTTAACCTATTATAGGTATAGGTAGTAAGATGATGGGATAGACAATGTTAAAATCACTTTACCAGTTAAAAAAATAATTGAGATCCTGGTTGTATTATCCTGGGATATTTAGAGGCAATCCAAAATTATAATAAACGCCATGCTAAGGTTGTTTATCGGTATGTTGAGAATAGTAATGAATTATTACAAACAAATATCCATCGAGACACGTTGTTCCAACATTCAGTGATCACCATTGAAAAGACAATTTTATTGTAATTACGATGTTCGTAGTATACAAAGTCATTGATAGCATTAAGAATACATTACTTTATGACCGACTTAAGGACTAGCAAATCCTCATGTTTCTTTACACTGCTCGTGAGCTACGTCACTGAGTATTTGTTATGGAAGCCGTACGCAAAGAGAGGCCAGTAAAGTCTTCAGAACGACCCACAACATCTTGACTGACGAGGGCGCTTTCGTGAACGCTACGAGGAGGAGAGTTTTCTCGGGTGAAGGAGATGGAGAAGAAAGAAAATGGAATATGTAATACGTAGAAGGGAATGAGGAGACGGAGGAAAAGTAGAAGATTAACACGAAAGAAGGAAAAACCATGAGACACATCATTATTCCTGCTAACACTGAATAACGAATATAGCGAACAGAAAAGTAGCTGAAAAGAAATAAAATAACAAATCCAAATCAATGTTCTCAAATGTATCTAACCCAAAAAAATCACCAACACTGAAAAAGCCCGAAAAAAAGAGAGAGCAGAATAAACAAAACCCCCAAAAAATCCCATGAAGATAATCTTTACGAAAGATGTACCTCCTAGCACACCAAAATACGACTCTCCCGGTTCAGACTCCCATTTAGATATTATTTACGATGCTCTTTTTAAAGTTCCGAGAGGTCTGTAGGATTTAATGTTATCGAAGGTCTTGTTCTGCTCCAACGATCCTGTATAGTTTATAGTTAACGGGGGAAAAGCCCTTATTGCATTGGTGGTACGAGCACTTGAGCGATGTTGATTGTATTGGTGGTAGATGTACGAGTAGTGGTGGTGGTGGTGGTTATTGGCGTGGTGTATGGTAGTTGTGGTAGTTATTGTTGTCATTGTATATTTGGAGTGTTATCGTTTATTGTTATCGTTTACTGTCCGCTTGTATAATGATCCCTGTGATAGCAAGAGGTGTGAAAACCGTCGTTAATGTAGCTATGATGAATAAATAAAGTTGTATCCAGGAGTTGTTCCATGTGGTACCTCATTATAAACTACCCCCGGGGGGGGGGGGTTGTTTATAATGTGATACAGCGCCGCTAAAGGTGACGAGCTGTGATCCCTCCCCCCTGACACATGGTTCTTGTAGGCCAGGTCCTTGTCATACACCACTACTATACATTGAGTGACAGGAAAAGGTGCAACACTTGATAACATTAAATAACCAGGGGACAGAGATCAGGCAAGACAGTTTGGACAGACTGCGTGTTTTTTGAAGGTATTAGAAAGTCCTTGACACAGTACTACACAGGTTCACAACAGAGGCCAACTCATTAAGTCACAATATCAAAGAGCAACGTCAATTCAACGCAGAATCAACGTTATTAACGTCGATTCAACGTGGAAGCAACGCCTCTCTTGGATATTGTGTAATCTGAACAGATAGGATAGACATTCCTCTCAATGCTGTGTAGATAAAGTCAGATTTACGCGAATAAAACAAAGCAGACGAGAAATAAACTACAAAATAATATGAAACCTAACTCAAGTAAGTACCAAGAATGTAGACGAGTCATGACAACATGATAGCGAACACAAGAACACATGGAGACTGAGAGAACACTGCTGGAATGAGACGTAAAATGAGAGCTGGAGGTTGATATCACGCCGAGCCTTGTCACCCAAAGCGGATATAAACGCCTCATATATGCAAGATTATTACGGCTCACCATAGCCCTTGCTACATGGAAATGTTAGTTCCGAGTAGCTGAATCTTAAACCACAACAACACGGAAGATTGACCAACGTAAGAACAGTCTTTAGAAAACTTAATGTCAAGCCCGTTGTCTAAGAGACTTGGTAGGTAGCTGCCAGGGTGTGGTGCTCGCTGGGGTGGCATTTGAGCTGTAATATTTTAGCCATATATATGTGCCGCCATCTTTACTAATCTTGTTGGACACCTTTTTCTCTGCTTCGTGTTTATATCTTCCCTCTTCACTACTGCTACTTTGTGGTGAAGCCTGCTGACGACTCGGTTCCAATCTCGAATATTTTGTATTTATTTATATATACAAGATTTCTTACATTCTTGTACAGCCACCAGCACGCGTAGCGTTTCGGGCAGGTCCTTAATCCTAATTTTCCCCGGAATACGACCCGCCAAATCGTTTAAGAATCTGGTGTTCGTTCACTGCTGGGTGAACACAGGCGTAGAGTTAAGGAATGGTGCCTCGTTAATCCTCCCTAGCCAGGATACGAACCCAGGCCAAATCACTCGCGAAGCGTAGTGCGAGTGTATTACAACTGCTCCGCAGAGACTTGCGTTTGACTTTTATGTTCTGATGTAGGACGTGTTGAATACCTCTACTGACTCTTCCCCCAGTCCTTTCCTGCTTCTGTGGCTGGCATGAGCTTCAAGCCCCTGTGGTGGGTTCCTGGTCCACTGTGGTAGCTACTTCGTCCGCTGTGATGCACTGTAGAATAATGGTTTAAATCATGGGTTGAAACATTTAGTTGACACAGAATGGAGACTTTTCATAACTTTTTGACCTCTTTCCATTTTAGTAAAGAGAGCATTTAGCTGTCAACAGCTATCAGACTTCACTATAATCTTAATTATTAAACCTTAAAATCATCCAAAATTCTGAAATAAGAAGCAAATAGGTTGTAACTATGTATTCCACAGATGAACTATGAATATATGCAGCACTGGTACTCTGAGTACCAGTGCTGCTTCGAGTCTTCATAGGTACTTTGGTTGGTGAGGACGGGACTGAGGACAAAATTCTATCCCTCAATGAAATCCCTGACGAATCTGATTTTTCGATCAGGTGGTGTGGGTGTTTGTTGCTGGCTCCTGCGTTGGCCTGTTTTGATGTATTTGCGAATTGTTTTGTGCTTTGCCTTTGTTGTGTATGGGTGTTTGTGTGCGGTTGTGGGTGTTTGGTGTTCTTTCTTTGCGCGCGCCCCGTGTGTTGGGGGTGGCGGGCGTATTGGTGTGGTTGTGTATGTTGCTGCTCCGTGTGTTTGTCGCATGGGTTGTGTGTGATTATTTGTTTGTCATTGTAATTGATTTATTCTTTGTACATATTTTATGTTATTTATGTTCTTATGTGCAGTTTTTGGATTTACTGTTTACGTTTTGTTGGTGTCCGGTTGTGGTCCTGTGTGTGCGGGGTGGGACTGTTCTTGTTGGTGTCCGGTTGTGGTCCTGTGTGTGCGGGGTGGGACTGTTCTTGTTGGTGTCCGGTTGTGGTCCTGTGTGTGCGGGGTGGGACTGTTCTTGTTGGTGTCCGGTTGTGGTCCTGTGTGTGCGGGGTGGGACTGTTCTTGTTGGTGTCCGGTTGTGGTCCTGTGTGTGCGGGGTGGGACTGTTCTTGTTGGTGTCCGGTTGTGGTCCTGTGTGTGCGGGGTGGGACTGTTCTTGTTGGTGTCCGGTTGTGGTCCTGTGTGTGCGGGGTGGGACTGTTCTTGTTGGTGTCCGGTTGTGGTCCTGTGTGTGCGGGGTGGGACTGTTCTTGTTGGTGTCCGGTTGTGGTCCTGTGTGTGCGGGGTGGGACTGGCCGTGCTTGTGTTATAATTTACTCCCCTTTTGTGTTCTAGGGGTGGTTAGCTTTCTGTACATGTGTTGTAATTGTTGTGTATTTGTTCTTGTACATTTTTGGTATTGTAATTATGTCATTTCTTTGTTGTGTATTGTATGCATTCTCTGTCCCATGCTGTCTGTGGGTTTCTTTGCTTGTGTCCTGTGACGTCATGTATGTATTATATGTCTGTTTCATGTATAAGCCCCATTGTTTGTATGTATATGTTGTTTTGCACTTGTTACTGTTTTTGTACTTTGTTTTATATCCAAAAAAAAAGTTGCGTCAAAGTATCGGCCAATTAGCTTCACGTATATTATGGGAAAGTTACTTGAATGGATAATTGCAAATACCTTTCGTCTTCATCGTAAAGAAACAAAAGAAATAAAAGAATCACAACATGGTTTTATAAATGGCCATTCATTTTGAACAAATTTTCTATCATTTTATTCCAGCATAGTTGAGGCAGCTGATAGTGGTAAGGTCTGTGATGTTTGTTGTTAAAGATTTAGCTACTCAGAACGAAGTGTCCATGTAGCACGGGCTATGGCGAGCCCGTCATCTGTGATGTTGTTTACATTGACTATATATATAGTCATATGAATGACTATATATCCAGTCATATATGAATGGGTGGATATAAATAAGAGGTGCCTCGTATGGGCAATGGGTCTTTTGCAGTTAGCTTCATTCTTATGTTGTTAATGAAGATTATGACATTAGTATATTCACGAATAACATTCGTAAACCATCATCACTTGTAATGTAACAAAAGTAAACTCAGACGTGTCTCTACACCGAGAAGCGGGTATACATGTATATATTTCAGTTTCAATAAATAATTGTCATGAATTACTAAGGTATCCAATTAAGTGGAGCCGACCAATGAGAATAGAGCTAGCGAGAATGTGACGGCAACTGAAATTGGGGGAAGGTGATTGGGTGTTGAGTCGACCTGCTCGTTGGGACGCAACGGAACGTTATTTTGCCCCTGTAGTTGGCCGGGGTTGGAGCTGTCAGTGTTGTAGGCTGAGTTGTGAGCTCAGTTGAGCAGTATACGTGAATTTTAACGAACTATCCATTATAAAAAATACGTTAGTAAGTGGTTTACCTCGGTTCTATTGTGTATGAGTTAAAGTTCAAACATTATAATTTTTGAGAATGAGTTTTAGAAACCCGAATCAGTGGGGGGATTGAGGTTAAATAGAATTACAGTATGGCTATATAGGTAAAATAAATGTACCGTGTAACACATGCTAAGTATCGTTGATGAAATTTGACTTGTAAGGTTTCGGATCTTTATTACGCGTTTTAGTACTAATGCTTAACTAAGGTTTGGTAACGTGAGTGAATAAGTCCATGCAAAACAAAAATCAAAGGATCATACATTCTTCGTAAAGTGATGGTGGCAGTGTTAGGAAAAGTAGTAGTTGTCGATATAACACTTTAACAATAATGATGGTTTCCTTACAAATGTCGAGTCAGATAGTGCCTTGTTGCATAGAGTAGGTAGTGTGTGAGGGGCAATGACACGAGGGAGGGAAGTTTTATTTGCAAGTAACAATAGACTAAAGGTAAATGTAATAGAGAATGAGTAGGCATTTAGAGCTCGAAATCCTAATGGGAGGATGTTAGTTAACCGTAGGTTACATAGGGGTTGAAAGAATTGCGTTAGTGGGAACGTTATTAAACAGTGTACCGGGACGAACGCTGTGGTGTATATTGAAGTGGCACCCACACTAGGGGGCCAGATGGCACTCACACTAGGGGCCCAGATAAGTGCGTTTAGGTGGCTATACGAAGTGGGATTTAGTGTAGAGTAGGCGAATGTAAAACAAGGGATGAAGCGCGAAGATTGATGACGTGCAATAGAATAGGTGTCCGGGTGGTGTTAGGTTAGTCGGTGAGGTGACGAAAATATGCGGTTTTGAGACTGGATATGCCTAATAATGAACGCTCTATTTCTCTCGCCTCCAGAGTCAGTCAGTTTTGTTTAAAATATGAAAGTTTCCGCAATATAATGGGCGTTAATGGAGGAATCATTAAAGGTGGTAATGCAAGAGAGAATTTGAAAGTTTCCCTATTAAGAGGACTCAATAGCTTTGGCCTCGCACACTTGGGGTCGAGGGTTCGAGTCGCCTAGAGGCTATGAATGGAATGTTATATTGCCATCCACAGTTCCCTTGAAATAAAGTTGTGGTCAGTAAAGAGGGATATAAAAAAAAAGGGGGAACATGACTGAAAAAGCAGCACAAATACAATAGGTTGACAAACAGTGTTGATTAAAAAAAAAGAAAAAAAAAGAAAATAACAGACATGGGTTGACAATAGAGGAGTGAGGTAGATTACAGGGAATTTATTAGGTAGTGTTTAGTTTTTATCTTAAACTGGTTGAGAGAGGTACAGTCTTTAACATGGTTGGGAAGGTCATTCCACATTCTGGGCCCCTTGATTTGCAGAGCATTTCTAGTTTGATTAAGACGTACTCTAGGAATATCAAAACTGTATTTATTTCTGGTGTGGTGCTCATGGGTTCTGTTACAACCTTCTATGAAGCTTTTAAGATCAGGATTGGCATTATAGTTTAGCGTTTTATATATGTATAATACACATGAGAGAATGTGCAGTGACTTAATATCTAACATATTAAGAGATTTGAGTAGGGGTACCGAGTGATGTCTGGGGCCAGAGTTGGATATTGTTCTAATAGCGGCTTTGTGTTGGGTAATTAGAGGACGTAAGTGATTTTGGGTAGTAGAACCCCAAGCACAAATACCATAGTTGAGATAAGGATAGATAAGGGAGTAATAGAGTCACCAGAGCAGGGCGGGGTACATAATATCTGATCTTAGAAAGAATGCCCACAGTTTTTGAAACTTTTTTTGATATATTTAGAATGTGTCCCTGGAAATTCAGCTTGTGGTCAATGAGAATGCCAAGGAATTTGCCATCTAATTTGTTACAAATTTGGGTATTGTTTATTTTGAGATTTATAAGACTAGAGGATTTATTGCCAAACAGAATATAGAAGGTTTTGTCAATGTTAAGGGTGAGTTTGTTGGCAGTTAGCCAAAGAATAGTTGATGTATGATATATTAGGGGAGAATTGTTGATAAAGCAATGTAGTTAATCAGAGTAAATAATATTTTATTGGGAAGTGTCAGTTATTTTCGGTAACATCTACTACCAAATGCTGCAAATGTAGTATTGTTAGGTCATTGAGTGTAAAATGCATTTACTCTATATAGAGTAAATGGACTAGTGGTAGTTGTTAGCATGGGTACAGTACACGCCTATATGTGGCTGAGCTCTGGGTGTATTGTCCCGGCTCTCAACTGATGTACATGTTCTTGAGGCTACTGAGCTCTTATACTATGTATATATGAAAGTGTGTATGGAGTCAGCCTGCACATCAGTGCCTAATGCATTTGAATTGTCAGTCTTGACACTAACAAAGTTGTAATATATCTGGCTGATTTTGGCACTGAGTTGGCAACGGTATCCCCTATTGCGCGTGTCGCTTGTTAAGGAGCATGTCTTGATGTACCTTGTAAATTGGTTTGAGAATGTTATCATATCCCCCTCAGTATATGTTGTCTAGCAACGTGAGGTTTAATTCCCGTACTCTCCTCGTAACCCTCAGTTCGGGTACTAGTCTTGTGGGGAAACCTTTGAACGTTTTAGAGTTTAGTGTTATGGTTGACTAGATACGGACTCCATGCTGGAGGTGCGTTCTCGCGGAATCGTCTGACATAAGTGGTATACAAAGTTCTGAATGAATCCTTAGACAAATTTACAAATGGTGGTGACATGGGCTTGAGAAAATATTGAAATATTTTCACATTTACGTAAATCTTAACCGTCCCGTTGTGATAATTGGGGATAGTTTCGTGGTATGCTTAATTGACGTTACCCTGCTGCTGGCCGTCAATTTATGGAATGATTCTGATAGGTGGCGGCGTTTGCCAGTTTTGGTGTAACAGAGGGTACAGTGTCCTTGAGTTTGTGATATGTAAATGGTGAAACGTTTGTGTGAATTGTAGTGAAGGTTAGACAGCATAACTTGTTTCTGTATATATTGGTATAACGAGGCGCATTTACCCAGTAAGCAAGGATAAAGGCTGATCCCCGTAAATAGATTGTTTGGTTCCATACATGCAGTATTTGTTTTGCTTCTAGGAATGTTCCTTTTTAGGCGGGATAAACGTGTTTACTGCCTCGTGACACAGTCCATGATGCCAGCCGTTTGTTTCGCAGTTATCTTTTGGGGTGAGATAAATTGTAGGAGGTAGTCAAAGATGGATACATTGTGAACACCCATTTCCAACGGTGCCTAGAAGTTTGTTCCCTGTATGCCACTCGTGTAGGGTAAATATCAGATAAAGCATGGCTTGTTCATGTGTTGGCATAGAAAGTTTGACAGGTAAGCTGCTGGACGTTGGAGCAATGTGTGTGGTTCTCCAGTCGAGTATGTTCTTGGAATGTATGTACTCGTGGTAGAAGTGTCCCATGAATAGTAGTGGTGATAAATTCCTGTTAAAGACGGGTAGTCGTCATGATATGTTATATAACGAATAAGATAAGGGGGGGGGGGAAGAAATTGATGTCCTTCAGGTGCTGTGGTAGCTGTTGTGTATTGACGCCTGAATAAAAACGGGCGGGTTTTCTTAGCAGCAGAGGTATACGACCAGGACGTCATGTTTTCCTCAACACGATATTCGTGTGGAGAGAGATTGTTTTTGATAGGTAATATATTGGTAGCCATTGTGAAGGTAGGTAGTTGTATTTGTAATCCCATGTATGTTAGTGTAGATTACGTTGAAGCTTGCTTCTGTTTATTGTCTTGTTGGTGAGCGTTCTGCTGATGGGGGAAGATGTTAGATGACTGGGAGGTCACCACCTGGAACAGTAGTGTTAAGATTTGTTCCATTTCACCTGAAAGTAATGTATTGTAGTATAAGGTGAATGGGTAATTATTTTGTACCAGTCATGGCCACACCTGTACAATGGTAATGATCATGTATACAAAATTTAGAGATGGTGAGAAATATAGAACAATGGAGATGTGATAGTTGTGTGGTGTACATAACCATTTTAAAATGAAAACAAATTGTGTGTAGGTTACATTAAGTGGTCGATGTGTCTTTTTACCTAGTGTAAATAATGTTAATTTGCAAAGGTTAAATGTAATTTTGATGTTCCACAGTTTATACACGCGCACACTCGTGGCTGTCGTAGTGTGAGAGGGTAAGATAACGTGTTATTAATCACCTTCAGTGGTTAAGGTTGATTTCGAAGCTAACGTCCTAGTTACATCATGGGATGTATAAATGATATATTGAATTTGTACACATGTATCAAGTGCTATAGTAAATACAGTTCAGAAATGTAATATTCCCAGTACAGAGGTCGGAAATAAAGGTATACCATTTTTTCTAGAGTGTGGTGGTTGATTGGCGGTGCAGATACGATGGTTCAAGAGGTGCTACCAGTGGACTTTAAGGTCGAAGAGAAGTACGGGGACGGATGTCAAGAAGACAGCGGAAAGATCGCAACTGACGTCAGATATCATATTGTCCAGAAACCGGAGAGAGAAAGGAAAGACGACGTTCAGGAGTTTTGCCGGAAGAACGGCGACAATAATGTAATAGACTGTAAAATGGGTTTAGTTCGAGGAGAGACGAATAAAGGGCACAGTGTCTTCGATGAGATACATCCGTAAATGTTTGTTTGCTGAAATAATTTAGGCATGAAGAATAGGTAAAGTTGTGAAATGAATGTTATTAGGTGAGGTGTAGAGCTAAAAATTGTTCATAATTTACAAAGAAATAATTGTCACCTTCGTTACATAATACCTGCATTCTTTTCAATATACCAGATAAATATTTAGTCTTAAGTAGGTCAATATGTACAGAGGGAAGTAAAGAATGTGGTAGTAATAAATGGTTGGCTCCTGATGTATGTAATTTGACCTTTATACTTTTGTGAGATTGAATAGGGAGACGTATTTGTGTAACCTAAAGACTTTACCTAAGTAACTAAATTAAACCTACTTACAAGTAAGGTTGATGTAGGTATGTATTCCGGTGAATAGTTAGTGTCGCTTTTGAGGTCCCACAGACATTAGGGTGTCCCCAAAACAACTTTCAATAGGACACTCTTACGTTCACTATTTTTCATGTTTGTAATTCATACTAGTGTAAAAATATATATATGGGCATCTCTGTAGAGGTCATATAGTGACATTAGGGTGTTGTATTATTAATACATTTATTTGCAGGGTTGACATACATAGTGATAACTCGGAGAGGGAATATTGATGCGCCAGTGTTCATAACGTTTGCATGTATTACTGGTATAGGGGATTTGAGGTACACAAGTGGTCAGTGTGTTTACCTTTCCTGTTATCACTGGCGTGATGGTGTTACTAAAAATACTAGACAGTGGTAGTGTAAATATATATGACCAAATGGTATCCGACTTGTTTTTTTTCATGTATCAGTACTATGAACTGTTAATTTTCATCATTTCCTCTTGAAATACAGTAAAAGTTAAGATACTTGTGCTTTGTTGGGACAGGTTCGTGTGGAAAATGTTCATACACGTTATCTTGAGATCTTGAGGTTATCTTGAGATGATTTCGGGGCTTTAGTCCTCGACCAGGCCTCGGGAAGCCAGACTAACTCCCAGGTACCTATTTACTGCTAGGTAACAGGGGCATCAGGGTGAAAAACTTTTGCCCATTTTTGTATCGAACCCGCGGCACAGAATTACGAATCCTGCTCGCTATCCACCAGGCTACGAGGCCCCTTGGCTGAAGTTTGGGACAGATTTGTCTTGTGCTGATCAGGCAACTTTTTGTATCTTGTTAACAACACCCCCAAAAGGTGCTTAATGTTATGGATACAAAATAAAGCATAGTGAATTGGAGGTACTCATTGCAGGTAATGTTTAGTGTTTAAGAAAAGGTTTAGTTCTATAACTTGTAAACACGATTCTTCACTGTTGTAGCTTCACTTTACAGCCCTAATACTCTTTGAAAAGGGGCACACTAACAGGTTGCAGAGAAGCTTAGTTTCCAGTTGTGATGACATCGCCCTCAGGATTGTTTGAGAGGCTGGTCCAAATAGCCGAAGCTCGATACTCATATCTTAGTTTATACACGGTTTTTTAAAACAGATGGAATGCATTAGGCAAAGAGCCAAGCTGTTAACTTTCCACCAATGCCTAGCTTAAACATTGTTTACAAGTCTTCCCCTCTCTAGAGGCAGCACCTGGAAAAAGTATGTAAGCTGTATTGTGATCTTCATGCAGCTAAAAAAACGTTAAGCATCACGATCAGACTGTATTGTAGTATGGATAATGTTATTCCGGGGTTGGGGGTGTGCCTAGACTTGTTCCTATATGGAAAGGAACGATGAGTTCTCTTGCCTGCGCCTTTTTAAATTGTGCCCACACATGTTCCTGGCAATGGAGATCAGTAAGGCAGCCCCCCCCCTTAAAACTATACACAATTGCAGTAATAAGCCACTAAGTTTACTTATCAGCCTAGAGGTTGATCATAGATCGCCTATGCAGGATGAATGGATACTTATTAGTATGGGGGGGGGGGGGGTGTTAAATAATTACCACACGTTTAAAAGACTTGGTCCACATAAGCAGAACAAGCTAGGGTAAACCTTGTATCCTATGTACTACTAGTAAGACAAACATCCAATTTATATAATACTCTACAACACACCTATGCCAGACAATGTAACGTTCTCAGACTTGCTGAGTATCAGCAATAAAGAAACCAGGAGGTTCGTTTCACCACAGCCAGCAGAGAAGAGCCTCTCGCTGCCAGTACACTGCTCAACTAATCGTACAGTAATCATATCCCAACTTTCTAAAGTGTAAAGAATTAGTAAACATAGCTTGATTATTAAATAGGCAACAACTCTGTCTTTAAATGTTGTGAAATAAGTTAATTTTTTTTTTTTCCCTGGGGACCCCAAATTGCAGAAGATCAAGCCTGTTGTGGCTCTCAAGTTTGAGAACTTTGAAGCATTTACTTGTCATTCACATTTGGGGGGGGGGGGGGGGGGGCATCAATACCATCAGTTTGAAATGTAAACTCGTTCGTCATTATTCCTTGTCCTACTGCCTTTTTTTTTTTAAATCTACGAGCACAAAGCTGTCAGATGCATCTGGCAGTTTAAGACATCAACGGCACTATTTATTACAGAAAACCATGTCAGCATTATCTAGCTGAAAAAGGGATCTTAAGGAAACAGGAGCTGGGGGGGGGGGGGGGGGGGAGAATTAATGGAGTCTAATTATAACTATGCATTTATGGTGTGTACAACAAAACTAATGGTTTACAATTATTGCTCATAGCGGCCCACAATATAGTTCTATGGATAGAGAAATGTAGATAATTAAGAAGTCAAATTGGAATAGGGTTAAACACTTGAATGGTGACTAGACTCGTGCTAAAATTAAGTTTCTCCAACTAACTAATGTTTGCCAAGTCTCATTCTAGATACCTAGCAATATCACTGGAAGATGGGCCCAAAATTACTTTCACAGTAATCCACCTACACACTGACGTGTTGGGTGGGTGTGCAAGAGATGGTGTATGTGGTACAGTTTTATAGACAACATTACTGGACCTCCAGGCTAAGGTATTCAAGATGTGCTACTTAATTTACAACTTTGTTACACCACGAAATTTTCTGCAAAAACAATATATCATAGCCTGGTCTTACAAACTGGCATGACATTGCCCGTCATGTAAATCCATTTATAGATGTTCTTCAGTACCAAGACAGTCCTTGTCTCCCCACCCTGGATTACCATCACAACAATTATATTCCTTAACACTTTTGAAGTTCATGTTAACTTTCACAGACTTCTTTACAGCCAAGGAAGCCCTTATGAGTATCTGCACTTAAACAAATATTTACAAAACATACGGGGTGTTTATGACAACTTCAGCTGTGCAATTAAATAAAAACCAGCCATATGGAGAGACAGGAGTTGGTGTAGAACAGTCACCACTTGTCCACATGAACTGTATCCCACCTAACAAAATATGTAATTTTAGAAATTAAACTTCACCATTTGGTAAACCATATTAATCAAGCACAATCATATTTCAAATACCATGTGCATAAAACTATTTTAACACTATTTTAAATAAAGACACTAGTAACAAGTAAAATCACTTGTTAACACTGAAGTAGTCCTTATCCCTGTCTTCAATACTAACTAGCTGGAAGCCTCTACAAACACTACCAGTAAGAATTGCCACAAAAATTTTCAATTTACAAATATTGCACACATTTCTCCTTCAGAAACTTGTGTAATAAATCATTCACATTCTTATGACATATATAAATGAAACTAAAAAGTCTCTGATATATATATATAAAAACTCATTTACACTCTTGTTTACCAACTACCACACATACAATTAAAGACTTAGTATTTTGGCCAACACTACCTGCAATAAGACTCCACCAATTTGTTTAACAACCTGGTACCCATTTTACTGTTGGGGTAAATGGAGGCTACAATTCGGGATTGACCCCCCAGCAAATCCTCCCCACCCAGGATACGAACTCTGGACAAATTGCTTGCGAAACCCCTGGACAGTTTTACCACTACACCACAGGACTCCATATAGCACTAAATGCAACAGTTTCATCCACACACTTTCCTACACAGAAATAAAGCCCATTAGCCAATATACAACTTAACCAAAACACTAATTTCAGGTTTTTATTAGCCACCATCTTTGAATAACATTAGATTTCTTATTGGGACACTACTGAATGATTTATTTTCCAACATCACAAGATGCTGTATTTTAGGGAACTTTCATAACACTTTCAGAGACCAAAGAAACTATGTAACACTTTATTAAACATTTTAATAAACTATTGTACATCCCAACAACCAAAATACAATTCTTACCACATTTATATATATATATTTTTAACCATTTTAGAGTGACAGCAGCAATGCATCAACAAGTGTGCCTGCAGGCAAGCTCTCTCTTTCTGGAGTTGCTGCTGGAAGTTTAAGAAGAACCTGAGCCGACGCCATGGAAAGGAGACGAGAAGACAACTGGTTGCCGGTGGAGTGAGCCACAGGAATGTCTTCACCAGGAACCCAAGTGAGAGTAGCTCGGTGGTACTCTGGCCTTGGGTCAAGCTTTACCATTTCTGACAACTAGGAGAGAAATAACAGTTTCAGTGTGCAATACTTGTTATATTGGAAAGTACAGAGGAAGGAGGGAAAATGGTTTAAGGGGGTTTATATGTTATCAATACATTGCTTTCACGTCAACATAATTCCTAATACTGTACTGTACATATACCAAATACAGTACACGCATTACCAACATTAAAGTTCAGCATTCAGTACTTTTGCACGACTACTATTTTAGCTTTTTAGCTTATTTTAAGGGTCAAATTTCCATTTCAATTCTACACATTTAACTTTAATCTAAATGATAAATATCTGTACAATGTAATTGTCAAGCACAACATTTATTACCTGAAAAATACATTTTTGTATCCAAAGGGAAACATCTCGGTCTATTCCAGTCAATAAAACAAAACACTAGCAAACACCAATTATTTTACTTTTTTTCCCCAATGTTCATATATTGTCCTACAAACAGTTTTCTTTAAAAGGAAAGAGGGACTCCTACAAATAAAGCCATTTCAATTTATTATTCTTCTATTCTCTTACATACTATGTTTACAGCCAATTTAATGGCTTTTTACCCAACATTCAGATTCTATTTGCACATACCTTTGCTCTCATGCATGTATTTTCACAGGCACTTCTGCCACTCATCTTGCGGCATAAGGGCAAGATGAAAAGAGTAGACGTCACAACAGCAGACACTGGATTACCAGGAAGTCCAAGAATCAGTTTCTTCTTGCCTTCAAACATACATGTAGCAAAAGTTGTTGGCTTCCCTGGTTTCATGAAGAGCTGGGAAAAAACATTTGTGCTCAATAAGAGGACTATAGGTCTCACCAAATTTATAGTCAAGTGCCATGCAAATTGTGTGCTACAGTCCTTTTATTATGCAGTCAAACACCAAGTTTTCAACCGCACTGACACCAAATGAAAGATTGGAAGTCAAAATTTAAACATCCTAGACCAAATATATTGGGTGCCAATTTTCTCTTACAACTATCTGTAACAATTATAGCTACACTTTTGCACATGCAAAGTATTACAGACTTTTCAGTTTGTGGATGAAAGCAAGAGCATTAAAATGACAAAGTAGTCAAAATTATTGTCCATGCACAATTTGCAGTTCCTACTATCCTGTTCCAACTTGTCAAAGTAATGTAGGTTGGTTACTTTTCTAATAGAAGCTCTACAAGCATGCTCATTACATCTTTATATTTCAATTTCGTACAGTCAGTAATAAACTAATTACTTGTACAGTAATAATTTCTAACTTTCCTTTTCCCAACTTCATAAACTATTTTTGCAAGCATGCTATACTGGCCTTCTTTGTACTGAATACATTCTACTATCAGATTTAAATCTGATCAACTCGTGGGGAACCGGTGGCTCAGCGCACAGAACATTTGACGCATGATCCTGTGGTCCTGGGTTCAATCCCAGGTGCTGGCGAGAAACGACGGGCAGAGTTTCTTTCACCCTGTTACCTAACAGTAAATAGGTACCTGGGAGGTCGTCACTTGTCATGGCCTCCTTCCTGGGGGTGGAGGCCTGGTCGAGGACCGGGGACACTAAAGCCCCAAAATCATCAAGAATTATCTTCTTGAAGTTATCTTAACATTATCTAACAAAAACAGTTTCCATTATCACCCATAATGCTTCAATACTTTCTCCTTTCAAAGTTGGACATTTAAACCTTTAATGAAGTGTGTTTTAGTAAATGTCCAATATATGAACAAATCCACAAGGGCCGTGACGAGGATTCGAACCTGCGTCCGAGAGCATCCCAGACGCTGCCTTAATCGACTCTGCTATGACATGGTAGCCCTTGTCGATTTCTTCATTTGATGCATCGCACAATTGTGATTTGTGTGTGTAATGTCCAATTTATCATGCATTCATTGCTCATTATACTGAAAAATCCTATAATTGTCCATGCATTATGGATTCAAAATATTTACCTGGGCAAAATGGATGTCTGCATTAAAATCAGAGACCAGCACAGGCCGCAATATATCACGCTCGCCCATTGACACTCCTCCACTGGTTACCAAGACATCTACACGGGCAAGGGCACATTTCATCTTTTTCATCAGGGCTGTTGGATCATCCTTTGCAATGCCCATATCAATGACAGGATATTGAAACTGCTGCAACAGAGCCTTAATAGTGACCCTATTACTGTCACGGATGTGTCCATATATAAGGGGCTCATTTGGTTCTTGAAGTTCATTACCTAAGAAAATCAAAAGAGACACTGCAATATACATTATGATTTTTATAAACCTATTTTATTAATTTAAGTGTTGCCAAATTCTTTAGTATCTAAAATAAACAAAATACCAACTCCCTACTAGGGAAGATGGATATTACCTTCATTTACTTTTACTCAAATTAAATTGTTCAACACCCAACAATATTTTGATTCCAAGGGCTAATGCTTCAAGTGTACAAAAATGAACCTAAAATAAATACGTTTTTAAATCATTAGCTTAAAGGGCAAACAATTTATAAAATAACTACAGATTCTAACCTCTTTAACCCTCCTGGCCTCCACAGCTATTATTACACAACATTTAAGGCATCATTTCAAGATGCCTAGATGGACCAAACATGTCCGAGTGCTGTGACCAACTGCCAAGAACTTTGCACTTCAAGCTGCATCATGTTCACTGATATCTGAACATTATAAACACAGCCTTTATCTATCACGGTCTATGATGCCATCATATCAAATGTACACACATTTCATAATTTAAGGAATGCAGTTGTCACAAGCTGAACAGCGATACTGTTAGCTTGTGCTGCATGCGCCAAATCTTGCTTGCTCACTACCTTCACACCCTGGAACAGTGTCCACTACTGTATTATTAAATGTGAACCCAATGTAGTTGCACAACTTTAATCTTTCAAAATACTCAAACATTAACGTATACCAGTCGGGCCAAAATCTTGTACTTTTAACACTAACAGGGTTAAACCAATCTTCAGCATAATACTGTATATGACAGACCAAATATAGCTCAGGCATCCTCAATCCATCCTCTTTCTTAGGTAGTACTTATATGTACAATAGTTGTCATTACTGTATCTACTTAAAAGCCAATTTGAAAGTAGAAGCCTGTACTATTCAATTTAGACAAACCGAATGTTTCTGCAAAGAAAATTTAGGCCTAACACTATTCAAGGCAGAATAGTACATATACATGCTATACTAGGCCTAGGTATTTGTTTTTATAGCTTTTTTTTTACTAAAGTGAATGTTGCTGAATTCTACTATGCATGTACTGTACAATAGTCTAGTTACAAAAACTACCACCTAAACAGGAGGAATTGGCATCCTACATTACGACCTAGGAATGTTTAGGTCTAGTTTTAGGCTTATTTTTTCCGTGCATTCTACAGAATATGTTTTACAAAAATGAACATTGTCAGCCGCATCACCCCATTTTTAACATTTGACCAAATAGTCCCTACAGGTACTATACAAGGGGGTGGGGGGGTTCATTTTCACAGGCAAATTAGTAGGCTATACATCTATACATTTGAAGTGAAGTAAGTATTTATCAAACCTATTAAGAACCCAATAACCAAACCTATAAATTTATAAAATATATCTCTAGATACTTTAAATTTTTTTATGTAAGCCGAGGCCATGATATTGTTTTGTGGTAAAGCAAATGATCAGCAATTTTAAAGTATAGTGTAGCCGTGGTGTAATGGACCAAGAGCAATTGCTCGTTTAAATTTCATAAACAAATCTAAAGCAAATTCCTGCCTTTGAAGCCAAAACATTTCAGCAGGAACGTATACAACACATTCCTATATCCCTAGCTAGTAAAAACCCTGCATTTTATGTAATTAAACATTCTGGTGGCTCCTTGTAAGCTATCTCAGATGACTAATCTGCCAGTCACACTAGTTTCCATTTTTGCAGTCTCCGTGGTGTAGTGGTAAGACACTCGCCTGGCGTTCCGCGAGCGCTATGTCATGGGTTCGTATCCTGGCCGGGGAGGATTTACTGGGCGCAATTCCTTAACTGTAGCCTCTGTTTAACGCAACAGTAAAATGTGTACTTGGATGAAAAAACGATTCTTCGCGGCAGGGGATCGTATTCCAGGGACCATAGGATTAAGGACTTGCCCGAAACGCTACGCGTACTAGTGGCTGTACAAGAATGTAACAACTCTTGTATATATCAAAAAAAAAAAAAAAAAAAAAAAGTTGCAAGAATTCAAGGGGCCACCAGATCCAAAACCTGGCCTTTTCACACAAGGCCTAGGGAGCAAATAGCATTCCACCGGAAAAGCATCTACAAAATCAGCAAACCTTTAGGAGATACCTGCTAGGTTCACAAGCCTCGTGTTTACAAAGCAAGGCCCCCCCCCCCCTCTGAAACGCAGCCATTTCATTCTTCACCAGAAAAGGAGAGAGCGCTGCAGCAACATCATGACGTCATGCTAGTTTGCCAATTTTCATTGGGGAATTCTGGCCACCTGTTCAGCTTTTGGTCACAATTTTACCAGAATAGGGGTTTGTTTTGGGGCGCTTACCTTTCTGGGTGCCTGTCCAGGTGGTAATTACCTAAGTGTAATTACCTAAGTGTAGTTACAGGATGAGAGCTACGCTCGTGGTGTCCCGTCTTCCCAGCACTCTTTGTCATATAACGCTTTGAAACTACTGACGGTCTTGGCCTCCACCACCTTCTCACTTAACTTGTTCCAACCGTCTACCACTCTATTTGCGAAGGTGAATTTTCTTATATTTCTTCGGCATCTGTGTTTAGCTAGTTTAAATCTATGACCTCTTGTTCTTGAAATTCCAGGTCTCGGGAAGTCTTCCCTGTCGATTTTATCAATTCCTGTTACTATTTTGTATGTAGTGATCATATCACCTCTTTTTCTTCTGTCTTCTAGTTTTGGCATATTTAATGCTTCTAACCTCTCCTCGTAGCTCTTGCCCTTCAGTTCTGGGAGCCATTTAGTAGCATGTCTTTGCACCTTTTCCAGTTTGTTGATGTGCTTCTTAAGATATGGGCACCACACAACAGCTGCATATTCTAGCTTTGGCCTAACAAAAGTCATGAACAATTTCTTTAGTATATCGCCATCCATGTATTTAAATGCAATTCTGAAGTTAGAAAGCATAGCATAGGCTCCTTGCACAATATTCTTTATGTGGTCCTCAGGTGATAGTTTTCTATCTAGAACCACTCCTAGATCTCTTTCTTTATCAGAATTCTTTAAAGATTTCTCACATAATATATAGGTTGTGTGGGGTCTATGTTCTCCTATTCCACATTCCATAACATGACATTTATTAACATTAAATTCCATTTGCCAAGTGGTGCTCCATATACTTATTTTGTCCAGGTCTTCTTGAAGGGCATGACAGTCATCTAAATTTCTTATCCTTCCTATTATCTTAGCATCATCAGCAAACATGTTCATATAATTCTGTATACCAACTGGTAGATCATTTATGTACACAATAAACATCACTGGTGCAAGAACTGAACCCTGTGGTACTCCACTTGTGACATTTCTCCATTCCGATACATTGCCTCTGATTACTGCCCTCATTTTTCTATCAGTCAGAAAATTTTTCATCCATGATAGAAGCTTACCTGTCACCCCTCCAATATTTTCCAGTTTCCAGAACAACCTCTTATGTGGAACTCTGTCAAAAGCCTTTTTTAGGTCCAGATAGATGCAGTCAACCCAACCATCTCTTTCCTGTAATATCTCTGTGGCTCGATCATAGAAACTGAGTAAATTCGATACACAGGATCTTCCAGATCGAAAACCATACTGTCTGTCTGATATTATATCATTTCTCTCTAGGTGTTCTACCCATTTAGTTTTGATTAGTTTTTCCAATACTTTCACTATTACACTTGTCAATGATACAGGTCTATAATTGAGGGGGTCTTCCCTGCTGCCACTTTTGTAGATTGGAACTATGTTAGCCTGTTTCCACCCGTCTGCTACGATTCCTGTACACAGGGATGCCTGAAAGATCAGGTGAAGTGGAATGCTGAGCTCAGATGCACATTCTCTCAGAACCCATGGTGAAACGCCATCTGGGCCAGCTGCTTTGTTCTTACCGAGCTCCTTGAGCATTTTTTCCACTTCGTCTCTAGACACCTCTATGTGTTCTATATTGTTCTCTGGAATTCTTATTGTATCTGGTTCCCTAAAGATTTCATTTTGTACAAACACACTTTGGAACTTTTCGTTTAGTGTTTCACACATTTCCTTTTCATCTTCCGTGAATCTATTTCCCATTTTCAACCTCTGAATATTATCCTTTACCTGCAATTTGTTGTTTATGAATTTATAGAATAGACCTGGTTCTGTTTTACATTTGTCCGCAATCCCTTTTTCAAAATTTCTTTCTGCCTCTCTCCTCACTGCCGTGTAGTTGTTTCTCGCATCTTTGTATCGCTGGTATGTTTGGGGGTTCGGCCTCTTCCTGTATTGATTCCATTTTTGTGTCTTTCGGTCTCTAGCCCTCTCGCAATTTCTATTGAACCAATCCTGTTTCCTAGTTCTGCATCTCTGTTTATGCCACGTCTGTTTATGTTTATGTCTATGTTTATGTCTATGTTATGTTTATGTTTATACGTTCTGTTTATGTCTATGTCTGCCACCACATCTCTGTGGTGGCAGACATAGAATGCTCCTAACCACACGGGGGTCTCTAGGCCATTGCTCATCGTGCCTCTAGAGGGGGCCAGGTTCTGGCTCGTGGTCCCTGGTAGGTAGAACTCCATGCATTTACCGACGCTACACAGATATACATATCCATCCAGCTCCAGGGAGCCAACGGGGATACCAGCAGAAAAAATGAAAGTACAATAACATACAAACTTAAATTTAAGAAAGGTGTCAGAGAAATGCAAAACGAGTGCCAAGCTACTTTATACTACCAGCTGGAAGATAAACAGATGGGAAACTCCCTGCGATCAACATATCTGCATCAAAAAGTACAGTTGAAGAAATGCAGTAATGTCAAACTAGCAAGGAACGTCGCTGAACCAATTCTTTGAAAGAGGCAGAATCACAAAAATGCCCAATTTTAATAGCAGGCTAGATGAGCCAGAAATGGAAGCCAAGTCAGGAACCATAAGAATAACTTCCGAAAAAAACCCAGAGCAACAACTGAACCGAAGGAAAAAGTAAATAAACCAATCCATCTGAAAAGCACCCATTATGAGAGCCTCAATCTGCACCATGCTGGAAGGAAGACACCGGTTCCATGCTGGCATGAAGAGATCCGCCTCAGCTCAACCGAAAGTTTTACAACCAGGCTCCCACACAGCTGCTTGACCAACCACCGAGTCACCCTGGGTCAATCTAACACCAGACAGCGATGGAGCAAGGCCAAAGAACAGGGACAGGAATGTTGACCAAGATTCCCAGACAACACCCAGCCTAGTTTGAACCTGGGACAGAACCGACTTCTGCCAGTTCATTAGGAACTCGAACCAAACAAATTGGGAAAGAACTAAATCCCCGGTAAGCCTTCACTGGCTGGGAGCCCAAACCAGCCACTTTTTCAGGCAAGCCAAAACTACCCGAACTACTTTCCCATATCCCTTAACGAGGGCAACAGCAAACGAGTAGTCCTCAAGCAGGGGAATAAGGAGTGCCATCCAAGAACACCAAGAATGCTCAACATGCTACACTATTCAGGCTTGGCATGCCAAGCCCTTGAGGAAAAATATGCCAGGATGGATCTGAACCTCGATCTAGCCAAAAACGCAATGCCGACCCAAACTCAAAAGGCAGTAGGATCCAAACTCATGGAAGCAAGGTCCGAATTCCACAGGGCATACCGCAAAAGTTCTTTATAACGACTTAATGAGACTGAAGAGGGAAACTTCTGGAAAAAATCTGCAGGACTGAATTGCACATGGAAACTTCACTGTGGTGGAAGGGGGAATGGGGGGGGGGGGGAAGAGGGCCACTCACCATGGTCAAATCCAATACTGATCAGAAGGACAAGAACCCTTCTCAGAATTAACAAAATACGAAGAAGAATCCACGGGTATCCAAGGGCCCAAATTGGGCTTCCCCTAGGCCTGGGATCCTGCCATGAATACCAGAGCAGTACCAAAGTCATCATCCAATGACTGCAAGAGGAAGGTGCTCCAATAGAAATGTACACAGGAAGCATGTGGTTTGAGAGATAATGCGGCAACTCTGGCAAGACTAGATGGCTGCACGACATGCTCCAAAAGGAAGAGAATCCCTCAACTGAGCTAAACCAATACCTAAACCCTTTCCCCAAATCCAAAACCCTCAGACATTTTGGAGCTGGAAGCAAGGTGGGAGGAACTGAAGCAGGCCAAACTATGCCTGTCTGGGAAGGACGAAGAGATCTTGTCAGAGCCAAGGTGAAGATCAAGAATACCTCCGATTCCAGGTCCCTGTACACCACACATGGGGCAATCCTGATGTTTCCATCTGAGCCACAAACGCCAATCAAATAAACTTGGCCCGTAATGCAACGGCTGCCTGAAATGCCTACCCCAGAAGTAGGATCAGTGGATCAGAACCTGTGGGGAACAAACAGGATACAGGGTCATAAGCCGTCAACCCAAGAGGCAGCATGACAGGCAGCAATAATGCTAGTCCCCACATAGCAAAGGCAATGAACAGCCTTCAAACTTGCAATGGATGAGAGCAGGCTCAACGGGTTGTCCTTTATGCATAACAGACTTCAGAGAACAGGAAGTGATTACTAGGGCCTGCTGGTAAGTAGCCAGGGGCACTCCCAGGCACCGAGAATGCTTGCTAAAGAAAATGGGAACCACAAGCAGCCCCACTATGCTGCAAGATGGCACCCCACAGCATGCCATATAAACAAGTGTGAGCCCTGATGGCACCCCCACACAACCTAATGAACACCCCTGAATCAAGGGCTTAAACAGATCAGAAGACCCCTGAAATACTCTAAGGCACTACACTCCAGTGGCCTCATCTCAGAAGGGCATACCCCTAAACACACTAGCAAATAAACTTAGTGCAAGGGCAGTGCTCTTTATGAATACCCAGGAAAGTCCACAAAATCAAACCCGCACAGCACACACACGAAGCAAATACTGTAATGTAAAGATACACTAGCAATTAAAAGGAGGCTCGCACAGAAAAGGCCTAGGATGGCCGGTACTTTGCATAAAAGCTCAGGGATTTGCTGCAAGATTATGCAACAAAGAAGCACTACTGTATGGCTCAGGACTAGACACGAGCAGATGAACTTATCCGTTAGTTAACACTGGGCCACACAGTGGCAGTATTCGGTACTATCTGGTTGTAGCTAGATTTGCATTTTGTTCAGTTATTTTGTATTCTTTTGGAGAGTTACTTGCCAGTAGTTATTTGAGGCTTGTGAACCTAGTAATAAAGCGGTAAATCTAAAGCTTCACTGACTCTGCCAATTTGCTGGGAAAGCATCCAGAAAGTCATTTGCTCTCTGCACCTCATTTGAAGAGGCCAGGTTTTGCCTTTGGGTCCTGGTAGGAAGAACTTTCAACCGAAATGCCCGATAGATAGGAGTAATCTCGGCAAGATAGCTACAGGGAGCCACCATGGGGCTTCCGCCAGAAAACCATGTACTGTGTACCATTACAGTATTTTTCAGAATCTAGTACATAATTGCAGCAGGTGATTATGTATAGTAATATGGCACTATGCCCATATAGTACCTTTGCTTCGGTTAAGTTTGTAATCTGCTCGTATTTCAAGCCTTTTTCCAATTTACTACTGCCAATTTTAAACTTATAAATACATCACTAATTTATCTGATTAAACTGCTGTGCTGCTACTACTACTATAGTCTTGTGGAACTACAGTATTGCCATTTGAAGATTTTGTATACAGTACACATTGCTGTAAGTTAGTAATTCTAATTCATCTCTGTTGCCATAGGTTTCACTAACTTTCTCCACATTTCAGCAATTTGGACCTTTACTTTTTCAGAGAAGCATCACACAAATTAAGATCAACCAAACCACACACCAGAAGACAAGACGATGACGTTTCGGTCCGTCCTGGACCATCATGGTCCATTGTAATAATTATCCAGGACGAACCAAAACGGTATTGTCTGGGCATGTGGTTTGGTCACCAAAGCAAATTTAAACTGAAGCCATCGTTAAATTTTGAGCAAATGCAATTTTAATTTAAACATGAGGTAGCATACCAGTGGAAAGTACAGCAACTGTAGGCTTGCCAACCACAAGCACTTCAACCGCTCCCACAGATGCCAAGAGTCCCAACTCCGAGGGTCCAAGAAGTGTGCCAGAAGCCAAAATCTTTTGTCCCGTTGCAATGTCACAACCCACCGGCCGAATATCTTGCCCCTGCGTAGGTGCTTTCAGTATCTTTATTTCAAGCTCTGTACAATTGTCGTCTCCTGCTTTTACAAGTTCTGTGTCTTCTACCTGAAATTTAAAAAAATATTAATAACTTAACTATGGGTGACAAGACAAAATGACCCAACACACAATTATCAGCATTTCTACAAACTCTTTCCTAATAAACCAAATTTTAGGTTATGCCATCCAACAGCCTGGTTGACAAGTCCAGCAAGGAGGAGGCCTGGTTGACGACTGGGCGGCGGAAACACCAAGCCCTGAAAGCACCTCAAGGCAAGGTATGCCATTTATCATACAGTGCAAGCTAAACCTAGTCTACTAGATCTTTCACCTACCACTTTATAGTAATTTTGCTTGTGCAGTAACATTTTAAAATATTACTCCAAAATATTTAAATCCTTAAAGCTTACTACTATTCTTTAAACAGCATTAAGTATTGAAATTAAATAGAGTAGAAAGACTGGATTGACCAGTACTTAACCATAATGACTAGTCCTATTTTGAAAGCTTTGATCCCCATTATTTACCCATTCTTCAACAAAAGTTTAAAAGATTTAAAGAAAAAGTTTAAAAAAATTTTAAGTTTAAAAGAAAGTGGTTTAAAAGAAAGTGACTGCAGACTTTCCTATAGTTAAATTAAATCTTGTATACTGTACACATGCACAAAAACACAGAATGTGCATCAATACCAAGTACCAAAGATTTCATCCATAAACTAGCTTTAGACAATCTGCATCCTATGTGATAACATTCAGTACAGTAAAAGCTTATTTTCGTTTAACCATTAAACGGCGCAAGTTGTATACAAGATTTTGGTACCATGCAAGATTTTAGAGTCCCACAGCTACACAGGGTTCACATCGGCTTCCAGTAAAAACATTAAAAAAAAACATTGGTACCATTCCCAGGTGTGAAGGCCTTGGTACTGAGTGAGCAACCAAGGCTGGTGCATGCGCTAACTGCACTGCTGTTCAGCTTTTGACCACAGCATCGCTAAAAATTTTAAAATATACATGTAACTGCTGTTATTTAGCAACAATAGCATTACAGAAGAGCCCAACAAAGAGACTTTACAATGTTCAGATATCAGTTAACACACTGCCATTAAAGATATTCACAGTGCTAGGCAGGTAGCCACATCACACTGCCTTTGTTTGGTACATCTAAGAATCTTGAAATGACTGTTCCTTACAAAATAAAATTGTGCAAAAGTATTCATTTACAGGATTTAGTGACCAGGATTCTGATAATAGCAGCATTGTCAAGAGAATTAGCAATGTGCATAGTATGTTGGGAGGAGGAATCTTGGCAGCAAGGTAGTTGTCATCCGACTGGTGTGTGGCAGCCACTATATTGTTTACACAAATCACTAAGCTGGAATGGCATGGTGAATAAATGTAGATACATTTATATAACTAATATTCTTTTGTTTTATGAATATATTTGAATCGCTAATATGCACACCATACTTTTGAGTAGCAATGGTTCACACATTATACAAATGCACCACACTTATTACTACAGAGAAATAAAAATTGGAATAATTAGGCAATATCTTTGTGGCAACTCCTGCCTGACAGCTCAGCTGGAGGAGACCAGCCCAGATGTGTACTCTTTCAGGACCATTAGCTTGTCAGACTTCCTCGCCCTATCACAGGCAAAGTATGTCGCCCATGATTTCTCCTACCAATGAACATAGAAGGAACACCTCTTTCATACAGTGTGTTGTCAGCTATTAACCTTTACACTGCTACAGTCTTGGCTGTAAATGGGGGTATTAGCTGGGGCTGGGCAAAAATATATTTGAATTCTGTGAAAATTATTATTAAATGTTAAATAAATCTAACTTATTGGCTTCAAGCATTGTGAAAGTTTCATACCAATATTTTCATAAATGGATTTTAGACAATTTTGTTTAAAAAAGAAGAATGCTTTGTTGATAAGAACAGCTTTTAACTGGAACCGAGGGATAATGCAGTAATAAAGAGATGCAAACACCTGTGCAATGCACAAAGAAGAATAGTAGTTAGAAGTGCCCATAAAGAGGATATGCAGCTGGTGCCTTTATAACATTGCCAAGTAATACATAAAGTAGAGCATAACACTCGTTATTGTTACACATCATACAAATACATTGTCCAATGGTAATACCTCTTACTTTCACCAATGTCCACATTTTTTTTAAGGAGTTTTTTTTTTTTTTTTATTATCCGATTTTGTTGTAACCTCTACATCCTGGAGAACGCATACCCATCTCTAGCTATGTGAAGATTGATTTATTCGTTGACCAATTTAATTCTATCATAACTGGCAGAACTTGGAACTTTGAATTTTGAATTTTTTGGGGGGGCCATTTTTTTTTTTCAGATTTCAAACTATTTTCCTTGTTTCTTTAAATTGTTTTGACGATTCGGGACCAGATTAGGGCTTTTTGACATTAAGTATACTCTAAATATATCCCCCTAAATCATTATAATTATCCCTATATTTTGTTTTTTGGGGGGATTTATTTCTTTACTTCATTTCGACACATTGACCTACATCTTTCACATTCGAGTACGAATGCCAAACAATGATTATTAAAACGTACAAGTAAATTAATGAATTAGAACTACCTTATACATTGTCGATAACTTCAACTTCAATTATCTCTTAAAATTAGTGTTTCAACATTGAGTCAGCTTAAGCAAGACAATAGTAATTGTTCAGCTCAAAGCTTATTTTATGTACAACTATAAATACTTTATTCTCAAACAGCATCATACTGCAGCCAATGATAAATACCTGAACTACAGCATCAGCTCCAGGTGGTATTGGTGCACCAGTGTTTACTCTCACACACACTCCACTGCTCACTTGGCACTTCTTTGGTTCGCAGCCTGCCGTCGAGTCGTCGGCTACAATTCGTAAACCAGCACCATCAGATGCCAGCACAGCATAGCCATCTTTAATAGAAGCTGGAAAAGGAGGCAGTGAATCTTTGGCAAAGATGTCTTTGGCCAGAACAAAACCTAGAGCCTTGTCCACTCTCACTTTAATATTAGGACACACTTCTGCTCTAGAAAGTACAATCTCTAAAGCTTGAGAGACGGCCATCATTGGATAAGGAGACTTCCTCCATCTGGTACAAATACGAGTAACATCTGCTTTCGAGGGTTTATGATCAGCATGCCCTTTAAGTGTGCCAGAAGTTTGAGTACTAGCAGACTTTACAGTGCCCTGTGCTTTCAGTACATCATGAGTCTTTTCTACTTGTACATTCCAACCCATGAGCACATCAACAGCATGCGATATAGCAGGTGCCACAAACCTGTGAAACAAAGCAATTTTACAAACAAATTATCAAGTGTTAAGCCAATATGGTTATACAACACTGCAAGTTTTAGAATAATTGCCAAGCCATATCTCTCAATACCCACAAGGACATCAGATAACATTCTAGATACAAAGATTTTAAAACCACTTTAAAAACTTTATCAAACTATCTCCTTTAATCCAGAGTCACTTGGACATTATGATTTTTAAAAACCCATGCCATACACAGATTTAAACATTAAAAGGGGAGGGGGAATGACGGGGTTGATAAGGCTCAGTTTACATCAAGTGCAAAAGTTATTCTTGCATAGCCAATATTTAACAGCCAAGGAATTGTCAACATTCTATTTAAGTTGCAACAAGGCATTTTTTTTCAAGTCAATTTTACAACTTGCAAATTTAATCTAAAACTGTAGTTTCGGGACTAGGAACAGTACCGTGGTTTCTTTAACTACATGCCCAGCACAGCTCTACTCAAGTCTACTACAGGCTCACCACACAGCCTGTGCTACTTTGAACCCTTGTTCCAAGTAGCTGACTAACAACAACAGCTTCACTCTTTTCTGTTGAGGATTGAAACTTTCTTGAATTTTTTTTTTTTTTTTTTACTTTACTGAATAAATAAGCCACATTACCACTTTCTGGCAAATCTATATTCATTATTTCCCATCTCCACTGTTAAAATATAATTTCTACATATACAGAGGCCTCACTTGGAGTTTAGGAAAGTATCTTTCTCAGAAGGTCCAATTGCCTCATGGGTGAACCAATGGAAGGAAAATAAGATGGAGCCCTATTTGACATTTCTAAAATTTGGGTCAAACAAGTTACAGTACAGTATACCAAATCAAGCCCTGGAGGCAAGTAGGTAATTGGTAATTGCATCCTATTACATTCCACTTTTTAGGGAGAGTTGCATCACCTGCTGTAAAGTGATTTATATTCCAAACTTGCCTTGGATACAAGGTTTTATTCGGTGGCTTCGAGAGTATCATTTACACAATTCAAGAAGTATTTAAATATGTACATATATAGGACGAAATCTTTTTTAGCGCGTATAATTGGACAGGCTTGTTGCTAAGCAAGGAAGTAAATGAGATTTATGTCAAGTTTTGTGAAATATATGATAAAGGCACAAAATTATACCAAACAGAAGCAGAACCAGGAAACAAGACTGGTTCAACAGAAATTGCAAGAGGGCCAGAGACCAAAAGACAAAAATGTAATCAATGTAGGAAGCGGCCAAACCCCCAAACATACCAGCGATCCAAAGATGCGAGAAACAACTACACGGCAGTGAGGAGAGAAGCAGAAAAATTTTGAAAAAGGACAAATTTAAAAACAGAACCAGACCTATTCTATAAATTCAAACAAATTGCAGGTAAAGGATAACATTCAGAGGTTGAAAATGAGAAAAATTCACAAAATGAGAAGGAAATGTGTGAAACATTGAACAAAAAGTTCCAAAGTGTGTTTGTACAAAATGAAATCTTTAGGGAACCAGACACTAACAGAACACAGAGGTGTCTAGAGACGAAGTGGAAAAAATACCCAAGGAACTAAGCAAGAACAAAGCAGTTGGTCCAGATGGATTTAAACCATGGGTTCCGAGAGAATGTGCACCCGACCTCAGCATTCCACTTCAACCGATTTTTCAGGCGTCCCTGTGTACAAGAGTCATAGCTGATGTCTGGAAAAAGGTTAACAGTTCCAATCTACAAAAGTGGCTGCAGGGAAGATCCCCCTCAATTATAGACCTGTATTGACAAGTGTAATTGTCAAAATATTGGAAAAAAAAAAAACAAATAAAAGTAAATGGGTAGAACACAAATTATACAATATCGGACAGATAGCGTGATTTTCAATCTGGAAGATCCTGTGTAATTAACTTAGTTTCTATGATCGAGCCACAGACTTTACAGGAAAGATGGTTGGGTTGACTGCATCTATCTGGATCCAAAAAAGGCTTTCAATAGAGTTCCACACAACAGGTTCTGAAAATGAACATAGGAGGTATGACAAGCTTCTAACATGGATGAAAAATTTCTTAACTGACAAAAATGAGGGCTGTCAGAGGCAATGTATTTGACTGGAGGAATGTCACAAGTGGAGTACCATAGGGTTCAGTTCTTGCATCGGTAATATTCATTGTCTACATGCACGATCTACCAGATGGAACAATTCTATGAACATGTTTGCTGATGATGCCAAGATAATAGGGAAGATGAGAAACTTATATGGTTGCCAGGCCCTTCAAGAAGACCTGGACAAAAGTATATGGAGCACCACTTGGCAAATGGAATTTAATGTGAATAAATGCCATGTTATGGAATGTGGAATAGAACAGACCCCACATAACCTTTAAATTATGCCAGAAATCTTTCAAGAATTCAGATAAAGATAGATATCTAGGGTGGTTCTATATAAAAAAAACTCCGAGGACCACATTAAGAACATTGTACAAGGAGCCTATGCTACACTAACTTCAAAATTCCTTTTAAATACAGTACATAGATGAAGAAATAAAGAAATTGTTCACGACTTGTTAGACCAAAGCTGGAATACGCAGTGGTTGTATGCTGCCCATATCTTAAGAAGCACAACAAATTGGAAAGGTGCAATGACATGCCATTAAGTGGCTCCCAGAACTGAAGGACAAGGGCTACGAGGAGAGGTTAGAGGCATTAAATATGCAAAAACTAGTAGATAGATGGGGGGGGGGAAAAAAGGTGATATAATCACTACATACAAAGTAGTAACAGGAATCGATAAAATTGATAAAGAATTTGAGACCTGAAACTTAAAGAACAAGAAGTCAGATTTAAACTAATGAAACAAAGCTGCCAAATAAAAAACATTCTTTTGTAAACCAAGTGGTAAATGGAACAAGTTAGGCGAGAAGGTGGTGGAGGCCAAAACCGTCAGCAATTTCAAAGTGTTATACGACAGTACTGGGAAGACGGGACACTACAAGCTTAACTCTTCCTGCAACTACACTTTGGCAATTACCATTTGCAAATCTTCACACCATCCAATGCCACTTCCCACCCTCCATTCTAACTGAGGGAACTCTTACCCTTTTGAGACTAGGGGGTAAACTGCTATTTTGCTCTAAAATTAGAGTCAAAGCACGAACTGGCATCGCCAACACACCACCCAATCTCACATTTTCTCCAGCCATAATTCTAAAATGACAACCAACACCCACACGAGGCAAGCTCTGCAAGTGCAGTTTGATGCAATGTAGTAAGAAATGGCAATGGGGGGGGGGGGGAATCAATCCAGGTTGTCCAGCAGATAAAACCCCTTATGATTGAAGCCACAGCACACACTGCCATTGCTGACATTACAAGAAAAAAAAGACAGTCAATATATAACAAAAATCAAGAGAGGAGAGTAGGAAAGGGGAAGAAAGACACAGAAGTTCACAAGTTGGAGATACACTGTTTAACTCAATACCAAGTACTGTAATGCAACCAATTTTAATATGGAGCAACAAAAATTAACATTATGCAAGGTTTACAATCTTACCTTAAGCATTCTTCCGACCCCTTCTTGCTTCCTGGCAAAGTTATAATCAATGTCTGGTCTCTGCAGCCACAAACAGGCCTGGACAACATGGCTAGTGGTGTAACCAAGAGGGACTCCATCAGCATGTACAGCGACATTCCAGGTACCTCTCGTTTAATAACCTAAATTAAAGCAAAAACGAATAATAAACTATAGCTAGTTTATCCAAAATGCCACTGATGCTCTAGTACTTAAATACCAGTATTTGTTTGATGAATTACAGTTTCCTCCCAACTCAAAAGGAGTCATTGGGGGGGGGGGGGGGGTGTTGGAAGACGACTTATAAAGTTAAAATACTAAAATGTCCACAATATTTATATACTGTATATAGCATCACAAGCCATCACATGTTCTCGTAGCTGGTCATGGCATTTATTTAAAGGAATCTTATTCCAGACCAACTTTAGTGGATTCTTTAAATTTACAAATCCCCCCCCCCCACCCACCCAATTCCAATTCACTAAGAAAAGCTGAATTCAAGAGGCAAAACCAATATTTTTGTTAGTTCATCACTAATGTTTTGCTCAGTATTTGCAATTACAGTATTCAAAATGCATTTAAATTTTACTGCTAAATTTGTACAAAGTGACTTTGCAAAGACATCCAGGCCATCTGGATGCAAGGTCATGTATACCAAATCTTTCAGTGCGAGCTCTATTTGAGCCTTTTCACTTCCTTTTCCTCAGATACATTAGTCGTGGGTTGAAGCAACGTCATGCAAAAATAATATGGGTATATCAAAAGAAAAACCATGTTCAAGGTAATGTTATTAGGAGAAACCACAATCAGTTGGGGAGGCAGTCAGCAGGCAGGATTTACCATTTGATAATGGTATTGTGACAAAGTACAGAGGGAGTAGATAATAAAATGGACAGCAGTGACAAACTTTTGAAATCCAAGCAGGAGGATGTGGTCTATTTCATTTACCAATGATGTATAAGGTACTAGCCTGGGGGCTAGCTGTTGATATTCTGTACAGTTAAGCGTTTCCGACAGAAGCTGCATAAAGTAAGAGCATCAAAGTCCAAGATCAGTTCAGGGGTAACTGTAGGGGTTTACCAGACGACGGTTTGACCCAAACTTTGCCGCTTTCAAAAGACTTGCCTGTACTATAATAAAGTGAAGACATTCATCTTTCATTTCCAAGTAACATATGCACAGTCATATTCGGATATATACCGTGTGCCTCATTTAAAACTGGCTAGAAGAAAATATTAAGACTAGGTTTCACAAATCAGACTAGTCAAATAATATGATCTAGATTTGCAAATGCTACTACAGTATATGCAGGCAACTTTTGTACACGTCTCTGGGAAGAATATTGTCACATTATTTTTCAATTTATGATCAGAACAAGTGTTACTAGACCCACTGATTTTATTCATTCACATGGCAAAGACTAATGCTAAAGCCATGCCCTCAAAACATGCAAGGGCAACAAACTTTAAAAATTAAAAAGTGAAATTAGTGCTACCAAAGTCAATAAGATTAACTATATAATTTCTAACCTTTCCAGCTAGAAAGCTTCTACACTTTCAATTTAATTGCTACTAGGAGCATTTGAGTTATTGCTAGAGGCCTACTTTATTTAATAATCAGTAATATCTTTAAACTTTATTTTGACTACTATATATACTTTTATGAAATAGATAGCATACCTCTTTAACAGCCTCAGGCGTTACATCACGAAAAGCCAGCCCTGTCCCACCTGTAGTCAAAATAAGTTGCAACTTTTCATCATCGCACCACTGTTCCAGGACTTCCTTGATTAAGGTAGCATTATCTTCAACACACAAATATTTGCAAACCTAAAAGTAAATTAAGAGTGGCAATTTATTAAATCTTTCAATCACAACTTTCATCCTTTAGTGTTTAATGCTTGACAAGTTATATTGACAATGTCAATACAACTTGACAGTGTCAAGTTATGCTTCATGGCTAGACATTTACTCTGTAGAAAAGTTACGGTACTGCTAGACATAGCAGGGCAAACACTAAAATATTCTTAACTCTTCCTATAAAATCAACACTGTACATTCATCAATATACTGTACTGTACTACAGAAATTTATTAATACACTCCCCACCACACTGAAGTTCATTATGAGCATTACCAAAATATATACTGTATATACCTTAAACATCTTAAGGACTAATCCACAGGTCTGTAGCAATTAATACCGCTAGACCAGCTGCTAGGATCTTATTATGTTGTATGTAGACAAGTTTCCATTAAGGTCTGGCTGGAGAATTCTTACTTTAAAAGTTGAAGAAATTGATAGATGAATTAATTTATCCCAACCCTCAAAATTCAGTATACAAAACTGCTCCCCAAAATTAAAAGCACAGGAGAAGAATGAGAAAAAAAATTCCATCTTTATTTTGGGCTGGACTGTGGTTAATATTCCTCTTGTCATTCTCTAGCATTAAATTGTGATGGGAGCCAGGACCAAAAAAGTTTCTCCATACAAAATATTAAAAGCAAGAAATTTGTGCAGAAGTAAAAATACCAAAACTTAATTTTTTTTTTTTTTTTTTACTTTTTGCACACTTTTTAGCTTTTTAAAAGAATTTTATCAACCTATAATGTGGTATAGGTTATAAATATGATTGTCTATACCCCGTGCTATAGGCGTGATCGGGAATGACGTGCTAAAGAATGTCCGTTATTTTATCGTTTTGACAACTGGGAAACACCAAGCTATTTGAACCATAAGTAAAACGTTGGTACTCATTTGCCAGTACTCAACTTTAAAAGGATTAACTCCGTGCACTGGACATGCCACACAAATGAGAGGAAGAGGGAGAGAGAAAAAACAAAAAAATCTAAGATACAACAGTATATTACAAATCTGAATAGTACATTCAATCTTTCCTAAATAAAAATGCAATTGGATACAGTGATTCAGACATCACATTAAATTGCAACAGGTGAACAGGAACATTAGAAGGTCATTGTGAAAAAGCCAAGATTCACTGCCGTCTTAACCAAACTGTTCCAACACACAATAGGTCTAAAGATCCAAGATTACCATGTTATTGGTCAGTTTTATGAAAATTTTAAAATTAAGCCATATTACAAAATTTGCTTTTGTATTTCAGATAAGCAGTGTACTCATTAATTGCATCCAGATCACATTATGTGATGGTATTTTGATGAGGAAAGTGTAGATTTAAATGTGTCATGAGAAGGTCTGCAATCTTCGCTTCAGTTTAAAAGAATTTAAGCAAACTATACATTTGTTCATTACCATACAATGAAAATTTTCAGTGTTGCAAGTCTGAATTTTTTCACAAAAATAATTACCTCTCCATTAAAAAGTTCGCCACTGTCAACCAAACCCTGAAGATTACAACCACTTTCATCAACTGCCGAGCCACTGGAGCAGCGGTCGCTCACCGTCAGCACGCCCACTCTGATAATTCTCGACATTGTAAATTCTGGCAAGAAAAAAAAATTTAATTAGTAAAAGTACACTTTTGTATCCGTTTTATACGTCATTTCAGTGTCATTACGTCCATATTTAAACTGAACTGTAAATCATATTTTTGTTCTCTGCGTATCTTTCTAGTGAAAGAAAGAGCCCTATGGGTTGCTATAAGCAACAGCCCGACTTAAAATGTTATCAAACAAACTATGCTCAATTATGGGTATAAATCCAACCTATACAAATATATACAAGGCCTTGCCTCAAGATTAAACCTGAAGTAAACTCATTTCTTCAGAAACTTTAATTTTACTGTTAAAAACCCAGAAATTTTTTAAAGCCTCTCCAAAATTTAGCCCTTGGGGGTCCATTGTCACGATTCCTAGGCGACTGCAGTTCCAGTAATTACTTGCAGATTTTAGTTATTGTCAGACTTTTAGAACTCTGGAACAGTGTTGTAACTCCATTCATCTGGGCTGTATGGGTCTAACCATGGACCCCACGTGTGCAAGGCCAAAGCTCTATTGACTGGGCTACAAGTAGTCGTAAGGGAAGGTTCCAGAAGCAGCGTACTGCTGCTAAACTGGCACTTTCCAGTCTGGCAGCATGATGCCATTTCTGGAAACTTTCCTAATTAAAATTACTCCTAGCCCAGTCGATAGAGCTTTGGCCTCACACACGTGGGGTCCACGATTCGAGACACGTGCAGCCCAGGTGAATAGAATGTTTATTTCCACGGAAGTTTGGATGACAATTTATATTATAATGCCTTGTACATCACATGGCTGTAGCAAGTTAACCCTGACCATTTAAATTTTTTATTTTCTTGCTGCCATGATGTAATTGTGAACTAGAAGCTTGCAATTATCAAGTCAATTTGGTTATTCCCACCAACATTGGTTAAACATGTCTGGACAACAGTTCCAGACAATAGAGTAGCAACTCAGGACACCAAGCCGTGTCAGGGACAGGTTAAGTATCATATGGTGTACATACTGTAGGCCTACTTACAGGCCTCAATTCTGTACACAAAGTTAAACAAAATAATTAAGTGAAGCCTTTAACAAAGACCATTCACCTATCACTAGCCTGAACCACAAGCAGTCAAGCCAAGTATCTTGCCGACCCTCTGATTCCTCAATCTAGCTACAGTGTACCCTATAAAAAAAATATAGTCCGCTTTCCTATCCCTCCCCAACCCCTTCCACAACTGATAACTGCACCAAGTGCTAAGGTAATTCAACTACCTTCAGTGCAAAACCAAGTAGGCCAGCAGTAACACATTTTACTTAATTTGGGCCATCAAAAACAGGACCAGAAGAAAGGAGTAGGAATCAAACCAACTATAGCAAATGATTTAGTAAACATTCAAAGTAGTACTTATCCAAGTTGGAAACATGGTAACAGTATATAGTAGGCCATTGGTGACTACCTTTGCTTGCCCTCCCAATCACCAGAGAGTTGCCCCAAGCCACTCAGGCTCTTACACAATTTAAATTAGAATTTAATACACCCACAGGCAATGAACAAGCTTTTACTATTTAGCCCCTTTTATGCATCAAACCCTCAGTCATGTCCGAGCCATCTTTTCAATGGTTAAGAGACCACATTCCCAGAAAGAAATTAAAACTGACAGGGGATCACTCATAGTGAAGAACTGTCACAAAAGCAGGACCGAGAAAAGTCATTTGGCAAAGTGCAACAAATCAAGTAGAAAGAGATATTAAGCAAAAATTGCTAAAGCAGCATAGCTTTGGTAAATCCTTAGTACAAGGACACAGGGCATTAAAAGGGCGAGAGACCTTAAATGACTTGAGAAAGGCCTTTGAACCTTTTGTCAAACAAGTGTTGCAAGAGGCACCAACATTTAATTACACTACAACCACAGGCCAGAATAACTGCAGAAATAACCTGGAGAAATCATTTTAACCAAAATCATACTATACTAGAAAACCAATTACCCAGTTCAAATGAACATCACACTGATGAAGCCTTACCTTTGCCAAGACTATAGAAAGCTAAAATTCCAGTATTTGAATACTTGGCAAGAGCTTTAAAACATGCATTCCATATATAAAATTAAGTTTCATTACACATTGAAGAATCTTAATATCAATTGGTTGCATTTGTATCTAATTTAATAAATTTGTTCTAGTGGACAATTTACTTCACAAATTAGAGTTACCACTACTGTTAAGTAGTGTGCTAACCACTAAAATGTCTCATTTGGATGAAATTATCATTTCAATTTGCATACTTAATACAATACTTTGTAACTAGTCTATGAAGACCCTTTGCCAATAAGCCACCTTTCTATGGGTCTACCCTGGTCTTTTCCAATTGTTACCTATACACTAAAATAAACTACTGTATTCCCCCCCCCCCAAAAAAAAAAGTTAGAAGAACCATGAATTAAATACTAGAAAAATTTGGTTTTATTTTCAATTATAGATTCCAATACATTTTTTGTGAAAATATCTAGTGTTGTACATTAGTGGTTTTCCAATCTTTGTGTGCCAACAACAGGGGCTTCACTGGCACTAAAGACCAGCAACTCTTTATAACTAGGCAATATGCAACTCTGGTCTTTTCCCAATTAGAGAGAACAAAGGGTTCTAACTATTATAAAGGGGATTGAATAATTTGTGCAAGGATTTAATCAAAACGAATAAAAGCCACCCGTTTCCCTGTCCTACTCTAGGCCACTGAAGTGGCCCTTGGGGATAATGGGTGTGTAGTGAATCATTAGTGCATCTAATTAGTTTGCACTATACTTTTGAGTGCAAACGTTTGCACTACAGAGAGGGTGATAAAGTTTAATAAAATCAAAGTAACATTACAAGACAATTTGCTGTAGAATACAAATATCAAAGGTACAATGCTGCAAATAATGTTTATTCAGGTAAAAGTACATAATCAAAGCGAGTTGCAAACAGAACGTTTGGATTTCTAGATAGAGCTAGTACATACTGTATGCCTAAAGCCACTAATAGGCATAGCATTTCAGGCAAGCTGTGGGAGAAACAAGTTAAACTTAAAACTAATCTACATCGAAAGCAAAGTGAATGGGGGGGGGGGGAAATATTATAATTACATAAAGGACATTGCTGGGCAGTTAGCTTTGTGTAATACATGCAAAATTAAAACCAGTCTTTTACTGGAGAAGTAAAACTGGAACCATCTTTCTAGCTACTCAATTCAAATCTGTACCCAATGTACAGTAATTCAATACCAAATTTATATTAAAATTTATCAATATATAAAATTACCCAAAACATGATGCATGTTAGCGGCTTTTCAAGAAAGCCAAAAATGATGTACTCAAACCCAACGTACCTTGTATAAAATAAATTTATATTGGGGCCTAGATTTAAATAGGTTTAGAATAATCAGATCACACAGGAGTTAGATACCACATTTTAAATAAGCTATATAGCCCCATTTTGTAGCTGTATCCTTTAGTCCTGTAACTTATCAGTGACCAATTAGTACCAGACAAGTCTGGTTACTCTGAATAAACAGTTCCTAAACTACAGCTGAAGTGGCCTAGTGCAGATATGTAGGAACTAATAAATCAAAAGTAGACAACTAATTAGGAAGCCAAGAGTGACAAGTGTGGGACGAGGAATGGCCTTTATACTATTACACAGTGTCATGCATCAGGACTGTGACGAGGGAAGTCCTTGACACTTATCAAATAGTGTCATTCATGTATCAGGATCAAACTAGATAAGGTTAAGCAATGTCAGTCATTCTAATGATATGCAACAATGTTTAGCTTGCCTGCTCTTGCTCATACACCAATTTAAATTTGTTTTACACAGCAATTTAAAGACTTCTGCGGGTATAATACACTAATAATGTAGTCAGCTGCCAATTAAAAGGACGATGAGGTAGTAATGTTTCCTAGTAGTAAAGCTGCCCGGCAGCGGTGACCCCAGTAGTAAACAATCCGGCAACGACGCCCAAAGTATCGTACATTAGGACCTGTCTGAAGCGCTATACTATATGCTATGGTAAAAATTCTATGCGCGTTAGTGGCTTTGCAAGAATGTAAAAACTTCAATATTATGTACACAAACTCAATGCATCTTATAGTATATAAATAAAAAAATAAATACAACTAATATATGTATAATTTACGTTGTATGCGCCACGAGGGTGCGTAGTAACACAGGACTGCGCGCAACTACCATTTTGGGTTAACCAGGTCATTTGTAGTCTTATTACATAGTGGGGAAAATTATACGTGGGGATATAAATCACATCCAACGATTTAACCGGCTCACAAAAGGTAGAAATTACATAAGACTAGCAATGCCTGCATACGCCTCAAAGCTAAACTCTCCTCTAATTGTTTAAACTATCCTTTAGACAATCTAGCCAAAATATATATATATACACACACACACACACACACATTATACTCGGTACTTTTACATTAATCCGGACGAAATACTCTAGTATGAGAGTGCTTACTGGGCTTTAAAAATATACAGTATATATACATGGAAACACTATGAATACAGGAATGTTTAGGCCTGTGTTGCTCATAGACCAATTTAATTCTTGTTTTCCACTGTATAATGAACCCTCATCACGGCCCTTGTGGATTTGTTCACACTACGAACATATTTTCCCGAATTTACCTTCGAAGCCAACACACACACAAAGTGGAGCTCTTTTAACCCACCTTAACACGTCAGCAGCCAGAGAGCAACTGGCCATTCAGGGTCAGGGTGACCCTCCTGCCCTCTGTCATACCCCCAGGAACCTCGTGCCCAGCCGATACCCACCCCTCCACCCCTCCCCCCCCCTCGTCCCAACCACCAACCCCCCACCCCACATACATACTGTATTTACAGATAGTGCTAGTATACAATACCTAAAGCTACTAATACGCATAGCGTTTTGGGCAGGTCCTTAATCTAACAGGTAATTTTAGGTAGGTAATTTCTAGCAAAACTGAAATTGAAAAAATTAAATATATTTAACAATATAAGCGTCGAAGCTTGTTTCCCAGCTCTTGTTCTCATAGTTTATATATATATTGGGAGTTCTCACTGGTGGAGTGATTCATTACTTAATTTCAGGTATCTGTTACAAGTAGTGATATCACGGTATCACTGTCTAATACTCACCTAGTTGTGCTTGCGGGGGTTGAGCTTTGGCTCTTTGGTCCCGCCTCTTAACCGCCAATCTACTGATGTACAGATTCGAGCTTCTCGAGCTCTATCATATCTACATGTGAAACTAGTCTAGTAGATGTTTGGAAGTGGAATAAGATGGAAGATGTCTTGGAAGATGTTTCTAGTGGAAGAAACATCTAGTAGAAGTTTTGTGCTGTCCGTACATACAGCACAAACATATCATGCCTCTTACTACCAATACCTCTTACCTCTTACTTACTACCACTCTCTATTGAGTGTCATGATGTTTTGAAACCCCCAATTATAATGCCTTGTAGTGAGATTTAAGCAATAAAGATACTTAGATCTAGTTCAGTATCATGTTTGTTACAGCCGCGTAACAAACGCCTAATAGTGTCGATAATATTATCGATGATGATAATGATAATAAAATGATAATGTATCTGCCTCGCCCGCGACACTATATTGAGTAATATGTTGACTAATATATCAGGCGATATCAATACAAATGAGATTCTACAAATTGTAGAACGTGACAATGACAAATTTATTTAAAGAAATATATATATTAAACATATAAAATGAGTTATAGACAGACAATTTTATTTCTAGATAGAGCAAGAATGTATCTAGATACAGTTCATACAATCGAGAATTTCAGGTCATCGACTTCCGTATAGTCTGTACCTGCCTTTATATACACAATACAGTTATCGTCTATAGTGGAATATATTATCGTTATTGTCACTTTTTATTGTCTCTGATTATTCTGTTTTACTTTATATAAGATTTAGTACTGAAAAGTGACTTGGTTCTTGGCAATAGTTGATTTGATATGTTTATTTTAGAATTATGATCTCTTTTTATACACTGTGACGTCACACATTTGTGGCAAAGGACAATATTAAACACCTTCGGGATTCTCTAGTTAAATGATAAAGTTAAATGTTCTACTTTATATAAGATTTAGTACTGAAAAGTAACTTGCTTTTTGCCAATATTTTATTTGATATGTTTTAGAATTATGATATCTTTTATACACAATGACGTCACACGTTTGTGGCAAAGGACTATATAAAACACGTCCGCGGATTCTCTAGTTAAACGATATATCTATATGTAAATCTATAAAATAAAATATCTATCTATCCAAAGTAAGAAGTCAGATGCGTGGAGATAACCTCACCCAACCTTCCAAGATGACACACTGGGAGTGTGTGAGTATCACAGGCTAGTCGGGGTCGGCCCCATAGCCACCCTTTACAAATTATTGGCACCTATAGCGACCCCCCCTTCCCCCACACCTCTACCCAATTTTCCTCTGACAACTAGAGCTAAAGTTCCAAACTTACCGATTACCTTTTGAACAGAGAGATCTTGTCGCTCAGCCGTAGGAAGTTGGCAGGTCTTATCAATCCAATCTTCCTTTGGTTGGAGATGGCGGATCCCAATCATGGAATTCAATTCCACAGCCACAAAGAGTCGACTTAATCTCTTTGAAATTCACCAGATCAGACCCACTAAGCTTGTAGTCCCTGTGTCGTCTCTCGTGTGCTGGTGACACACTCTTGAAAAGGTTCTCCTTAAGCATACACATCAATGTACGCCATTTGACAATTACGGGGCAACATAGTTGAATCTGGCGCGAAGTTCCCGTAGAGTTTCATCTTGATGTAGTTCTCATTATTATTGTTTTTTTTTTTTTTTTTTTTTTTTTTGAGATATATACAAGAGTTGTTACATTCTTGTACAGCCACTAGTACGCGTAGCGTTTCGGGCAGGTCCCTGGAATGCGATCCCCTGCCGCGAAGAATCGTTTTTTCATCCAAGTACACATTTTACTGTTGCGTTAAACAGAGGCTACAGTTAAGGAATTGCGCCCAGTAAATCCTCCCCGGCCAGGATACGAACCCATGACATAGCGCTCGCGGAACGCCAGGCGAGTGTCTTACCACTACACCACGGAGACTACACCACGGAGTTCTAGTACAGTACTGTATTTTCATCATTAACGGGTCTGGGTAGTACAGTCGGGCTCGTTCTCCACACACAATCGATAATTTCAGGTTCGAATCCCGGACGGGACAGAAATAGTTGGGAACATTTCCTTTCACCTAATGCCGCTGTTCACCTAGCAGTGAGTAGGTACTCAGGAGTTAGTCAGCTTGTTGTGGGTTTGCTTCCTGGGCGGGGTCAGTAATTCAATCTTGGCGGGGGACGGGGGGGGGAGACCTCGATATAAGTCTACCGTGTATGAACACACCCTGGCTTCCTGTCCCCCCGACACAATTATATATATTGTGTCCTGAAAGATATCATTAATAGGAACGTTATCCCCCACAGACACAAATCAGAAGATACAATTAGCAATTTACTACAAAAACAAAAAAACGGCTCATCTACTCATAAAGAACTTCCCAGACACCAAACAGAACTCCTTGAAGGAAACCAAAGTCGTCTAGATGCCTTCTCATGCCCACTTGGGGACTGTCAGCCCCAAAGATCTCAGTATATAGGCAAGACAACAACGTCTCTTTCTAGGCGATTAACAATGCACAAACAACAGGACTCCATCATGGAACATATAATCTTCACACACAACCAAACCATCACCAGAGACATCTTAACTTGCAACACAGAAATTATCGACAGATACAACGATAACAAGAGACTCGACATCAGTGAGGCCCAACACATCAAAAAGTCAAAACCAAGAATCAACAGCCAATTAACACATAATTACATTCTACCCACTTCAACCAACTGTGAGTTTGTCAAATAAACAAACTCACACTAAACACAGAAAAGCCCTACTACATTTTATTTGGTAGTAAATCATCAAATCAAATTCAACTTCAGATAGACAATGTTAATATTACCAATAAAAAGTGAGGGAAAGTTCCTTGGCCAATACAAAGACAAAAAACTGAACTTCAGCACCTACATACAATACATAACAAAAATGTTTCAAAAAGCGGTCGGTATAGTCTCTAAAATCAGAAATTATATTCCCACCCTATTCTCTCATTATACTATGCGCTAATATATCCCTATCTTACATACGGTATCTGTGCATGGGGTTCAAGCACTGCAAACTACCTCAAGCCTATCATTAATCAGCAATCTGCTATCAGAACTATAACAAACTCTGTCTTCAGACAATACACAGCCCCTCTGTTTAAGTCCCTTAACATGCTAAACATACACTCACTCCACACATTCTCATGTGCTATCTACATGTACAAAACCTTTTCATAAACGCTAATCTTGATCTGAAACTTTTATTTGATAGGTGTAGTTGAACCCATGAGCACCACACCAGAAATAAATATATCTTTGATATCTCCAAAGTCAAATTAAATCTGTACAAACACTCCATGCAAATGAAAGGGCCTAGTCTATGGAACTCACTCCCTAATGAATTAAAAAAAATTCCAGCCTATGCCTTATTCAAAAGTAAAACCAAAAAGTATCTAATTTCATCCTCATAGTTTCCTAACTTGTGCTTCAAACTCACACTGTATCTTGTACTACCCTCTTCCCTCAATGTTAGTGCTTAAGACATATCTTCACCAGTGTAATCACCTCTGTCAATTTATATTGCAGTTATATGTTCATATAAATTTGTCTACAATGTACTTTTTCATCTGAGATGTTAGATTAAGGACCTCCCCCTAGATGCTATGCGTGTTAGTGGCTTTACAAGAATGTACACATACCAATTTTATGTAATCTGAACACACCCATTGTACCTCCTTGTAAATAAATATTATTATTATTATTATTATTATTATTATTATTATTATTATTATTATTATTATTATTATTATTATTATTATTATTATTATTGTTATTATTATTATTATTATTGTTATTATTATTATTATTATTATATGTTAGGCTACATTGGTCTAGGTTAGATAGGCTTGAAAATCCGTCAGTGAATCGTCATGTGAACTATCTGTTCTGTATAACCGCTGCGCACTAGTGTGTTGCTAGGCAAGTCTGCAAGCGTTGCAACACTTACGTCATCCTCACTTGCATCACCAATTAACTACTGAATCCATTAAATGTTGTTTATCTCCAAGAGTGGAGAATTCGACACGATCTTCAATTGTCCGGACAATCAGGGTGTGGGCGCACCAGAGACATACATTTGAATTACTACTCAAGTTCAAGTTCAAGTATGTTTATTGAGATAAGCAAGAAATACATCTCAAAGAGATAGAGTAGCTTAGGCTTAGGCTACTACTTTCTTTTCCTTAAAGGCAAAAATATGCAGGATTATCCCTTGGGTTTGGTTATTTTTTTGTTTACTGTAGCTCCCACTCATGCGACTTTCAGTGAATGGTGGATTCTGACTTCAAGGTCCCTTTCTTCATCAATCTGCTGCAAGGTAGTGCTGTTAATTTAGTAGCTGTGACGTGGATTGTTATGCCCCCACATGCAAGGTCTTGCATTTATCGTTATGAAAACTCATTTGCTTGTCTTCTGACCATTTGTAGACTCCACACCCATTAAGCTTCAAACAGTAAATATTGTTAAGTTATCCTATTATCATATTGGTTATATATATATATATATATATATATATATATATATATATATATATATATATATATATATATATATATGCAGAGATAATGTTAATAAAACAATTAAAATCGTTTAATGTACTCTATATATCATAATAGATTACTTTGAAACCCGTATCAGTCACTAAACAAAAAATTGGGCTACTCTTATTACAAATTCGCTACTTTTAGACCATCAGCTCGCTACTTTTAGACCGTCAGCTCGCTACTTTTAGACCGTCAGCTCGCTACTTTTAGACCGTCAGCTCGCTACTTTTAGACCATCAGCTCGCTACTTTTAGACCGTCAGCTCGCTACTTTTCGACCGTCAGCTCGCTACTTTTAGAACGTCAACTCGCTACTTTTCGACCGTCAGCTCGCTACTTTTAGACCGTCAGCTCGCTACTTTTAGACCGTCAGCTCGCTACTTTTAGACCGTCAGCTCGCTACTTTTAGACCGTCAGCTCGCTACTTTTAGACCGTCAGCTCGCTACTTTTAGCAATTTGAATCTGGCAACCCTGAGTCAGAATTCGGCTCAATAACCACACTCAGGAGTCAAATTTCCGACATTTCAGATATTTTGAAAACTGCAGGGGGGTTTGGGCAAAATATGACCCATCGCCGTTTTCAGTAATTGGCATATTTTCGGTATAAAAAGTCGTAATTTGAAAATGAAAATAGGTGCAGAGAGTCAGAATTCGGCTCAAAAACCACACCCAGGAGTCAAATTTCGGACATTTCAGTTATTTTGAAAACTGCAGGGGGGTTTGGGCAAAATATGACCCATCGCCGTTTTCAGCAATTGGCATATTTTCGGTATAAAAAGTCGTAATTTGAAAATGAAAATAGGTGCAGAGAGTCAGAATTCGGCTCAAAAATCACGCTCAAGAGTCAAATTTCGGACATTTCAGATATTTTGAAAACTGCAGGGGGGTTTGGGCAAAATATGACCCATCGCCGTTTACAGTAATTGGCATATTTTCGGTATAAAAAGTCGTAATTTGAAAATGAAAATAAGTGCAGAGAGTCAGAATTCGGCTCAAAAACCACACCCAGGAGTCAAATTTCGGACATTTCAGTTATTTTGAAAACTGCAGGGGGGTTTGGGCAAAATATGACCCATCGCCGTTTTCAGTAATTGGCATATTTTCGGTATAAAAAGTCGTAATTTGAAAATGAAAATAGGTGCAGAGAGTCAGAATTTGGCTCAAAAATCACGCTCAGGAGTCAAATTTCGGACATTTCAGATATTTTGAAAACTGCAGGGGGGTTTGGGCAAAACATGACCCATCGCCGTTTTCAGTAATTGGCATATTTTCGGTATAAAAAGTCGTAATTTGAAAATGAAAATAGGTGCAGAGAGTCAGAATTTGGCTCAAAAAATCACGCTCTGGAGTCAAATTTCGGACATTTCAGATATTTTGAAAACTGCAGGGGGGTTTGGGCAAAATATGACCCATCGCCGTTTTCAGTAATTGGCATATTTTCGGTATAAAAAGTCGTAATTTAAAATGAAAATAGGTGCAGAGAGTCAGAATTCGGCTCAGAAACCACACCCAGGAGTCAAATTTCGGGCATTTCAGTTATTTTGAAAACTGCAGGTGGGTTTGGGCAAAATATGACCCATCGCCGTTTTCAGTAATTGGCATATTTTCGGTATAAAAAGTCGTAATTTGAAAATGAAAATAGGTGCAGAGAGTCAGAATTCGGCTCAAAAATCACGCTCAAGAGTCAAATTTCGGACATTTCAGATATTTTGAAAACTGCAGGGGGGTTTGGGCAAAATATGACCCATCGCCGTTTTCAGTAATTGGCATATTTTCGGTGTAAAAAATAGTAATTTGAAAATGAAAATAGGTGCAGAGAGTCAGAATTCGGCTCAAAAATCACGCTCTGGAGTCAAGTTTCGGACATTTCAGATATTTTGAAAACTGCAGGGGGGTTTGGGCAAAATGTGACCCATCGCCGTTTTCAATAATTTGCATATTTTCAGTGTAAAAAGTCGTAATTTGAAAATGAAAATAGGTGCAGAGAGTCAGAAATCGGCTCAAAAATCACGCTCAGGAGTCAAATTTCGGACATTTCAGATATTTTGAAAACTGCAGGTGGGTTTGGGCAAAATATGACCCATCGCCGTTTTCAGTAATTGGCATATTTTCGGTGTAAAAAGTCGTAATTTGAAAATGAAAATAGGTGCAGAGAGTCAGAATTCGGCTCAAAAACCACACTCAGGAGTCAAATTTCCGACATTTCAGATATTTTGAAAACTGCAGGGGGGTTTGGGCAAAACATGACCCATCGCCGTTTTCAGTAATTGGCATATTTTTGGTGTAAAAAGTCGTAATTTGAAAATGAAAATAGGTGCAGAGAGTCAGAATTCGACTCAAAAATCACGCTCAGGAGTCAAGTTTCGGACATTTCAGATATTTTGAAAACTGCAGGGGGATTTGGGCAAAATATGACCCATCGCCGTTTTCAATAATTGGCATATTTTCGGTGTAAAAAGTCGTAATTTGAAAAGGAAAATAGGTGCAGAGAGTCAGAATTCGGCTCAAAAATCACGATCAGGAGTCAAATTTCGGACATTTCAGATATTTTGAAAACTGCAGGGGGGTTTGGGCAAAATATGACCCATCGCCGTTTTCAATAATTGGCATAATTTCGGTGTAAAAAGTCGTAATTTGAAAATGAAAATAGGTGCAGAGTGTCAGAATTCGGCTCAAAAATCACGCTAAGTAGGCAAATTTCCGACATTTCACATATTTTGAAAACTGCAGGGGGGTCTGGGCAAAATGTGACCCATCGCCGTTTTCAGTAATTGGCATATTTTCGGTGTAAAAAGTAGTAATTTGAAAATATGAGTCTGCAATATACAAGAACGAGGTTGTGGATGCAGATCAAGATCTTGGTAATCTTCAACTGTAAAGACGTGGAAGGACTCCACAGCCATTAAGCTTCAAACAGTAAATATTGTTAAGTTATCCTATTATCATATTGGTTAAATATATATATGCAGAGATAATGTTAATAAAACAATTAAAATCGTTTAATGTACTCTATATATCATATATCATAATAGATTACTTTGAAACCCGTAACAGTCACTAAACAAAAAATTGGGCTACTCTTATTACAAATTCGCTACTTTTAGACCGTCAGCTCGCTACTTTTAGACCGTCAGCTCGCTACTTTTAGACCCCTACTTTTAGACCGTCAGCTCGCTACTTTTAGACCGTTAGCTCGCTACTTTTAGACCGCTACTTTTAGACCGTCAGCTCGCTACTTTTAGACCGCTACTTTTAGACCGTCAGCTCGCTACTTTTAGACCGCTACTTTTAGACCGTCAGCTCGCTACTTTTAGACCGTCAGCTCGCTACTTTTAGACCGCTACTTTTAGACCGTCAGCTCGCTACTTTTAGACCGTCAGCTCGCTACTTTTAGACCGCTACTTTTAGACCGTCAGCTCGCTACTTTTAGATCGTCAGCTCGCTACTTTTAGCAATTTGGATCTGGCAACCCTGTATTGTTGTTGATTGCGGGGCGACCGAGGGATGGGATGCTCCCCAAGATGAACCTTTTTCATCTTGACTGAAGATGACTGCACGATGAGTCGTGCAGTCATCGGGAGGGCAAACCCTTCATGCTAACTGCACCTACTGTCAAGAAGAAGAAGAACCTTAAAGTTGCAGTGGCAGAGATTGTTGAGTTTGGTTAATGTAGAAAGAGGAGGATGGCGAGAGTGTCCCGTCTCGGTGTATATGTGACAGCATACCTGTGCTTGTGTCTGCTTGCTAATGTAGCCCTGGTGGTGATATTCATTGCCGGGAAGCACTGGACATCCTTCACACCAGCGGCCTTGTCAGCTGATGGTCAGTGCTGCTTCTTGTCTTAGCCTAAGCTACTCTAGCCCTTTGACATGTATTTCTTTCTTGTCTCAATAAACATACTTGAACGGGCAGCGATTCTCATTTTATTTTATACAGTAGTTCCATACGCTGTACCATAACAAGAACGTAAAAATTGGATGAAAATGATTTAATCAGTTATCGTCCACTTGACAAAGTAAAAGAATTTGAGATTATGGGCTAGTGGCCCATTATTTTGCCATGATCGTTTTGTTGACATTGGACATTACCTATCTATTAGTACTTACCTATTATTGTGTACAAGGAAGTGAGATCTAGCTCTTTATCTAGCTATAAAATTCAATTTTATACTTTAAACTCAATTAGTATTAAGTTTTAGTCTTTAATGTTTTTCCTGCCCGAAACACTTTGCGTAATAGTGGCTTTAGGCATTGTATGTACTAGCTCTATCTATAAATCTATCAATTTTTGTAAAATCTCTTGTATGTATGTACCTTACCTGAATAAATATTTATTTATTTATGCCCATAAAGAGCTACCTGTTGTGTTACACCCTAACTACTCTAACTTTCAAGTTCTTCTTGAATCGGGCCTTAAAGTTGTGGATGGAGATGACTTTCACAACTTCCTCTTTTAGAGCATAACACATGTTAACTACCCCATACAGGGTACGAGTTTGGTACTGCCTTACATCCCTTCAGCTCGTTTATGCTTCCAAACTTCTGATGGATATGAATGACTAATGTTGCTATCATAATCCCTTAATCAGTACCAACCGACCAGTTAATAATGTTGATTATATTGATAACACGGTGGTACTCCTGAGCTAAGTGTTTAAATCAATGCTGTTATTTTGATATCCAAACTCCAAAATATTATTTTTAGTTGTAAGGAAGGAAAAATTGAACCACCCTTTGCCACTAAACTTACCCCAACCTATCTGAATGTAACCTAACAGTACACAAAGTCCCCAAAATATAAGGAACAGATGTATACCTGAAGGTCACCATCTTGTGGTTGGAGGATTGTTAGTTCTGATAAATTCCTTTATATTTTACCTAAATAAACATTTGAATTTGAATTTTGAATTAGAATTCTTAGTCGTAAAGGCTTGGCACTTATTCCTGATAGTTCCCATTCCACACATTCTCTTGTGCTATTTACATGTACAAAACCTTGTTCCTAAATGCAAATCCTGATTTCAAACTCTTCCTTGACAGATGTAATAAAACCCATAATCACCACACCAGAAATAAATATATCTTTTTGATATTCCCAGTCAAACTATATCTATCCAAACACTATGCAAATAAAGGGACCTAGTCTATGGAACTCACTCCCTAACAACTTAAAAAGCTGTCCAACCTATCCCTTATTCAAAAGTAAAACCAAAAAGTACCTGATTTCATGCTCATAGTTTCCTACCTAGTGCTTCAAATTCACACTGTATCTTGTGTTATACACTTCCCCAATGTATGTGCCTAAGACATGCAACCTCACCACTGTAATCACTTCTATCAACTTGTATCATAGTTGTTATGTTGAATGCAAATTTTGCTACAATATACCTATTAATAATCCTCAAATTATGCTACAATGTATCTGTTATATTCCTTAAATTTTACTACAATGTACCTGTTACAATCCTCAAATCTTACTACAATCTACCTATTAAGATTCTTCAAATTTTCTTACAACATACCTATTAAAATTCTTCAAATTTAATACAACTTACCTATTAATATTCTTCAACTTTTGCTACAAATTACCTACATAAAATTATCTGTTAGCTTAAGTATCTGCCCAAAATGCTGTGTGTTAGAGGCTTTACAAGAATGTAAAACATCAATGCTATAAACTCTCATAAACCCAATGGACATTCTTGTATATAAATAAATAAATAAATAAATAAATAAATAAATAAATAGCAATTGGCATAATGCTCTCTAAGAGCATGATACTCTGCAGGATGACATGGCATCCATAAAGTTATTGTATTTCATTTCAATAACATGAGACATCTTCACAAAGTGGCTGAGGTTGATTTTCTGTCTTAGTCAATATCCTTAATGTTTTAATGAGATCTTCCCTGTCATGTGCTTTCAGTCTATCCAGTTACTCAAGATGATTTAAATGGTAGGATACTTTTGGCTAACCTAATCTGCACTGAATTTAGCCTAGTGAAACCCTTCTGTAGAAAGGGTATTCATGCTTCAACACAGTTATTTTATGTTACATCTATATCAATTCTTCCATTATATTAATATATCGAGTTTTGTCTTATTCTAGAATGGGATCCTTCAAGGGGTTGGACTTTTAAGTGTGCTGACCTTCCTTTTATTACCAATCTGAGCATTATTGGTTCCGGATGGACAAAAGCTGTATATAAGTAAGTAATAATGGAGTCAGTTGGCAAGCTTGGAGATAGTTTGTGTTTTGTAGAAATAAATTTCTTCTTGTGTAAGACTTGTTCATCAATATGAATGCCTTAATGATGAATGGTAAATATGAAAATATTATTTTTTTTTTATAGAAGTGTTACAAAATATTAGAATATAACACTAAGCAATGTAGGCAAAAATAGGAAAAATATATATTTGGTTCCTTTTTTTTCTAAAATACATTATAAAATACATTTAAATATATTTAAAATACATTACTTGGGAGGGGCTGTCCTAACATATACATCTTGAGGCAAATCATAAACCAAGTCCCCATAACAAGTGAGGTATGGAAATACACACACGTGAAGCAAACGCTGAACTTGGAAACAACACACAAATTGAATGGTCCTCACAGGACAAAGTCCAAAGGACAGCCCACACTTACTTAGGAAAGAATGGGACTTGCTAAAGCTGGCAACTCAAGGAGATGCACACTCATTGAAGTCAGTGACAGAACTGAGGGTCTGATGATGTGGGAGCCAGGAAGACTCAATGGTGCTGCCTCCTCTTGGTGGCTAGCCATAACTAGGGGAATTCAATCTAACAACCAAGTGAATTGCTTGCAGTCATTTGCTGCTTTAGTTCTTTTCTCTCAGTGAACCTTGCTGTTGTCTATATGGCTTTGCTGACTTCCTGGATATTTCCATTGGTTAAGGTGATTGTAACAATTCCCTGCTCCCTCTGCCTCGGTGAAGGGGCCAGGTTCTGGCACTGGTCCCTGGTAGGCCATTCAGGATTACAGTATTAAGGCTGATGTGAATCATATGAATGGAGTGACCTCAGTGAATTAGCCTCAGGAAATCACCAAGGCCCAACTAGAAAGGCGCTTTATTACATTCAACACTTGTTTTTTGACATTCTGTTCTCCCCCCCCCCCAAGTTTGGTTTTTGCTTTGTTCCTTTCCTTAGTGTCTGTCCCTCCTCTTTTACCCACTCATTTTTCAATTACATAATGAAATCACAATAGCATGATATATGTATGAGAAAATCATCGCAGCAAGAACACGTCTAGGAATACCCAGGATGCTGGTTTGATCTCTGTCCTGCTCCAATGATTTTCCTATAGATATATCATATTACTGTAATTTCATTGTGTATTTGAAGGGAGTGTTAAGACGAGAATTCCATTACCTACACCAGAGTATACGCAGATTATTGGTAAAACTTGTATTGGCTACCAGCTCAGTGCCTCCAGACTCCTAGTGGGTCTGGGCTGATCCCAGGTTATATAATCTTTAGCATATCATGGGTTAAGGCGTGCATCTGGGGATACCCAGGATGCTGGTTCAATCCCAGACCTTCTCCAATGATTTTAACATGTTCTTATAGATTTTAACATGTTCATGTTTGGAGAGAATATCATTATTATATTTTTTTCCAGAGGCCAGTATGGTAAAACTTGGTTGGCAGTTAAGACCGTGCATACCTCTGGCCATGACATGACGGAGTGCCTGGAATCAGTGAGCGTCTGCTATCAGCACTGTGCAGCCAAGATCATAAAGGAAACTCGGCTGTTACAAGAGCTCTCTCATGCAAATGTTATCAAAGTAATGCTCATCGTGGTCAGTTGATATTTTTGTCTCTAATACAATAAAAGTTTAGGAAAACCTCCTCTCTGAGCAGAATTATTTGATTGCTACCTAAGTTAAGACCTGTGCCTATTGGCCATCAGGTAAATTCTAGTAAATAGTGCTAGGGAGGTACTGAGTAATATAGTACTGTGGTCAGGTTGTCTTGCTTCTCAACAAAGCAGCATGAGTTTATGGAATCAAGAAAATCTGATTGTTAAAACACACTAAAATGTTTAATGCACTTTTCTATCTATATTATGGGCTGGATTGGATATTCTCCAGTGTCTCTCTAGCACGAGTATTACCCAGCAGTTAGTTTGAAAAGCTCTTTGTAGTATCGGTGTGGAATGTCAACCTGCACTGGCTGCACCATATCCTAACCAGAAGTTAGTAGGGTCTTGCCTAAAGGAGATATTGAGTGTACTGCTCAGAAAATAATTTACATATTCTCAAAGCTTAATTTTTAAGTACAGTACTGTACAGTACTTGTTTTAAGATTCCACTACACCTTTTAAACTTCCTAATACCTGCAAATTTTCAATATACTGAGTGCTTCAATCATTTTGTTAGCTTAAAGATTTGCCAAAAAATCCTATGCATATTACTGTATTTGTGGCTTTAAAAGAATGTACATATTTTAATACTTTCTTCATAATAATTAAATTGATGATCTCTACTACTAATTTAATTGTACTGTATGTACTCACCAGAGTTGGTTCAAAAACATTGTGTAAATTATGAGAAGGCTTTAGTATAATGAGATGCTACATTTGGAGGGGGGGGTTGAAATTAAGATTAATATCTCGCAGACATTTATTAGTAAATAAAGTAGAACAAATCCACAGGAGCGGTGATGAAGGTTCGAACCTATGACGTGCTTTAGTCCACTGTACCATGACTTGAACCATGTCGTGATGGGACTAGATTGTGTCTGGGAACATTTAGCTCACAGGTTCGAACCCTCGTCAAGGCTCCTGTGGATTTGTTCTTTGATATATCATATTAATGTGATTTCTCTGTGCATTAAATACAATATTATCATATTTAATAAATTGTTTTTACATTTGAACAGATTTCAAGCTGTAATTATAACAAAGTGCTGTACAATCCATATCAGGTATATGGAGGATGTATTCCAGATGTGGAATACTCTCCTGGTCCCCCCGTGGCTGGCATTGTGGCCATGGTTGCAGAATTAGGACGCCCAGTTAATGTTATTGAAATCCTCCAGATGAATTACGAAGAAAGACTGAAGGTAAGTCTAGCAACACCAGTGAAAGGTTGTTTTGATTGAATAATACTATTTTCAACTCTAATTATAGCAGGAAATACTGTATTTGAATTAGATTCACTGTACTGAAAGGCTCCAATGCCAGGCTTGAGGTTGAAGGTAGTTATCAGGGGAAAGTGCCAAGTCAAGCGCCTGACGGCTGGGTGGACAGTGCTTCGGATTCGTAGTCCTGAGGTTCTGGGTTTGATCCCCGGTGGAGGTGGAGACAAATGGGCAAAATGTTTCTTCACCCTGATACCCCCTGTTACCTAGCACTAAATAGGTACCTGGGAGTTAGACAGCTGCTACGGGCTACTTCCTAGGGGGGTGGGGGGGGGGAGGAACAAAAAGGAGGCCTGGTCGAGGACCGGGCCGCGGGGACACTAAACCCCAAAATCATCTCAAGATAACCTCAAGAAGCCATCATGACTGTATAGCATTTGGAAGGGATCAGGATAAGGATTTGGGATGGAATGGGAGGAAGGACCCAATGTCAATGAATTTATAGAACAATATATACAAATGTGGATAAATTTTGTTACTCTTGTTTACCATACTGTTAACTTTTCCAACTCTTAGATGTAGACTGACATTTTTGCTACATCTGCTGTAGTGTTAGCCAGAGACATCATTACTAAGCGTATGGCAAACAGTTTTAAGCGTAGGAAACCATTCTGCATGAACAGGTTGAATTTGAAAAACTAATTATGTCATTCATTTGATCCTGCATCCATTTGTGAGACTGTTAGCTTTTCATTAACAATTAAAATACAATAGCATGAGTTGCCCTTTTATTTACATGCAGTAATGGAAGTAAACTTGTGTGTACCATTACCTCAAGATTTAAGGAAATGTCTTTAGGGGTTAAATCATACATAAAATGATATTCATCTAATCAAAGTGTAAACAATTGTGGTGTTTTATTTTAGACTTACCCATTGTATTCAGGGAGGAAGGGTTGTGGAATGACAAAATGGTGTCAGAAGTCTGGGGGTGCCAGTGGTGGGAGATTGTATTAGAGAAGTCTGGTGGTAGGGGATGGTGCCTATACTTTCTGATGTGTTTCTCCAAGTTTTGTTCAGTCTCTGATCCCAAGCGTCCCTTTATCTTGTAAAATAAACCAGATTTTGGTCCAGGCTTTCAGTAAGAGATGGATAGGTTTCGAACACCCGGTATGTTGAACTAAGGCCTGGTATGTTGAGCTAAGGCCTGGTGTATTGAGCTAAGGTCTGGTATATTGAGCTAAGGTCTGGTATATTGAGCTAAGGCCTGGTATATTGGGCTAAGGCCTGGCAGTATCAGAGCTCGGGAAGGTCCTAGGCACTCACCAGAGAAGGTTATTTCATTACATTCGACACTCAATTTTGAGTTAGGCCTGATTGACATATTGGCATTGAATTTCCAGTTAGCAAGTGATGTTGGAAGAATCTTGCACCACCTGGCACAGTCTCCTCTTGGAAGTCTACTAATGAATGATTTCCGACGAGAGCAGTTTGTTATCTCAGATGGATCACTCAAGTTATCCGACATAGATGATATAGTAGTTGGGGATCCCAAATGTACCAGCTATAAAGACTGTGCTATTAAAGATGGGATTAAAGAGAGCATCCTTGTCAACTGTAAGTACTGTACTGTATGATGAAATGCTTTATCTTTAGCTTTTATATTGTAAATCATTGACTTAACTAGACAACATCCATATACAGTATCTGACCTGTGCCACATTCTTGCTTCATTAAGCAAGGTCCTGTGTTTGTGTGGGCAGGACTATGCATAGCCAGGGCAGGTTGACATTTCACACTGATACAGTGGGTATTTTTTTAAATAGTCTTTGTCAGGTCATATGGGTCAAAGGAAATACTGTGTTGGAGAGGTCTCAAAACCCTTTCAAGTGTTTCTTGGTATCAGACTTCCAAGGCTCACTGATAACTATTTCCTTATGTTCTTTGAGCCGACAGACACCAATATTATGTATTTAAGTGGCTTTTGGTTGGCAGCGCCTGATTTGTCCTGATTTGGGGGTTTGTCACCATTTCTGCCTCGTTGCTGTGTCCAGTATTACCTGCATGCTGTCCAAAATACACTATTATTTCTCCAAAACCGATGTTTTTAAACCCTCAAACTGCGACGACTATCGTCAAAACTGACACTTTGCTAGTAATCAGTTATAAAATGTTAGAATTTTTTTGTGGGTCTGGTTTACCTCCATCCAAATAGAGCTATTAAATCCATATTAAAATCTTTGGTATACATATGAAGCAATAATAACAAAAATCATCAAATGAGGAAAATTGCAGTGACCCAGAACTATGACTACATGTTGAGGGTTAAAATGTTCATATAAATATTTCTCTTATAGGATTACAAAGCATAAAAATTACAAATTACAAAATTAGAAATAGTTACTGATACTATTTTTGAAAATAAAATTATAAATTATTTAATAAAGTGAAAATTGTGTTTGTTAGCTAATGTTTGTAAACATGGGCATAATCACATGTAAACAGGTAATTGTGCTTGGGTAATAACATATATTTTTACTTTCTAGTCCTTTTGATAAACAAACTCATGGAAAAAGCATATAAAATGTTAAAATAGTATATATTGACGGAAATTTATTTCCATCTCCTGACGATCATTGTTTATCATAAACATGCCATAAGAATGCAACATGTCACCAAAGAAAATCAGAACATTCATGATTGTTCACAGTAGTTCTTGGCTAGTAAAGTTCAAAGGATTATTATCGATAAATGCAGTTAAGGGTTAATAGATTACAAGAATGGTCCACAAAGTATTCTGATCGATGCTAAGCTTATCTCAGTTCTATAATTACCATACATGTCTTATTTTTACTACATGCATTTCTTTCATGATATGTTTGGACAAAATCACATGTGTGCATGCCCTACTCATTCTAAACTCTTGTGTGTTACTGACTTACCCAGTAATCTGATAACCCATTAAGTCCTATATATTACCACTCAGTGTCGTGTGTGACCGGGCTGTGTAAAGGCTTCAACAGTCGCCTTAATGCTGTTCATGCCAGCCAGCACTTTATGCGTCTGCTGATTCCATATGGAGGTCCAGCAGCCCTAGAAAGTACCTGCCTACGCATAGTGAATCAGCAATCAATCGGGTTGTTGGATTCTGAAGCGGTGCATCAAGAAATCCAGGCTTTAGTGAATAATTATTCATCTGGTGCCTATTTATCAGCTGCTGAGAAGGAAATGATCCACAGTAAGTAACTTTTTTGATAAAGAGTGAAATATTGTTACTTTTGCATATTGGAGAACATGTTCAAATATGATGAAGTCTCAAGCTTTTCCTGTATGTTATATGTCCAAGTTCTCAGTCACCATTCTTTAGTTTGGCTAGCTTTCTTATTTATCTTAACCTTATTCAGAGCAGTGACTTGTTTTGATTGTGACTCGATGGAACTTCAATTTTGGGTTCACCTCCTCATGTTCACCTTGCCTATCTGAGAGAACCAGATTTTGATCCAGGTTACTAATAGGCTGTGTAAGTCTCAAGGCTTCGTATATTTAGGAAGCTCTGTGGTTCTCAGCATCTAAGCTCCAGTGAGTTACTTAGAGGGCTACCATAGAAATAGAACATTGAGTTTAATGAAACACGCTCCTCTCAGAGTAGCACCTTGGTAGCTTCCCTTAGCTTATGCTACCAGGATGATTATGAATATTCCAGCCTACAGGTGACAGTCTTGGCCCACTGAAAACAAGGCTCTTTTCAACCCATCTTGCTCTCTCATTAGGGCATGGAGCTTTGGGGTATCAAAGATCAACCCACTACTGAGATGAACTGCCCACAAAAATATCAAAAGAGGCAGCAAAGCACACTATTTTTGTGAGTGATGATTGATAACACAGAATTGCCAAGCAAAACTAAAGAAGCAAGTTCCCCACAAACCCAATGACTGCCTACCGCCACTAGATTGTCCGATCAACTAAGGACTCGGGAGAAACCATCTCACTTCAGTGAGCCCATCATTTTGTACTGGAAGACTGGGAACAAAGAATGGGAATGGAGTGCTACCAAGTTGCTGCCCAGAAAGGGCATTCCATTACTCTTTACACTCTATTTCACACTAGCCTCCATAGCTTCCCCGAAGCTATGCAAGGGACACATGGTGCCTTGAAGAGGGATTAACTCAACATTATAAATATAAATATACAGTATAAGTAGATACCAGTAACAGCAGTAGCCATGTCCTAGAAGCAGAGGACATATGCAAATGTGTATGTTGGTGAGGCATCTGCCAGGCCTGAGAGATTGCCTGTAGCTCCAGATTATTACTGTGGCTTTGTACATGGATAAAAAAAATGCTGTCTAGACAGTATCTATACACAAGCATGATTTTGTTAAATTAATGTTGCTTTCAGTGAATTGATAGGAAAGAGCGTGATTGTAGTGACAGAGCATGATACAGGGATAAAAAAAAAAAGTAAAAGATGATTTCCTCTTGTACCTCAAGAAATGCACTAAGAGACATGGAAAGCATGAAGCCTAGGAACACAACCTATTAGACAGAAAGGCAAGGCACCTCACTCCCTCTGCCTGAAATACAACTCAATTACTCCATAACTTACATTCTCAGTAAAGAAAAATGAAGAGCAATAGTTGACACTGTTTAAGTTTTCATTTGGAGGGCTTCATTGAAACTTGGTTCGTTTGTATAATAGTGAGTTGGTCTCTCGGTGGCAGCACAAATTACATTCTCCATGGCAGACAGAAGCCAAGGAACAGTCTCAAGAAAAAGTAATTAATTTCACAAATGCCTTTTTTTCAGGTTACACTGTCTTGCATGGGTCCACTGTACATGACGCAGACTTCTCGTGTTCTAGAACACTTAGCAAAGGTTGTGTCCAGTCAGTGTCTTCACCCGCTGAAGGAGCCTGGTTATGCTCACAGTTTCCCGAGTGTGTAGCTTATGTTCTCATTGATGAGTGGACCTGGACAGGTAAGTCAGTTTCTTTGATGTTTGTACTCTTGTGTCATAAGTGCCACATACAGCATTAAAAGTATTTGAATTCTGACAGACTATTTGGCTGATCATTATCTTGCATATGACAATATTGCTAGTGATATTTTCTGATCTATTGTCTTCAGCTGCTCCTTAAGGTAAGGACATGCTGCATCAGAGACATGACTCATGAGTAGTAAGGCAGGACAACATTGAGGCACTGGGATAGGTATATTTGGGTAAATCTACATTTTTGTTTTGGGTCATATTTTCTATAAACCAAATATATTTCCAACTTGAATTACATCTGACCATGTGTTATTTTCATTAACGGTGATACTGTATGAAAATATTTTATTTATCTACTGTATATACATAATTATACGAGGATTTAGGGTAGTTTTCAGAAAATGTATGTTTTTGTTTACTATAAAGTTAATATATTTCCAACTTGAATTATGCTCAATCATATTCTCTTTTCATTACCAATATTATTGTAGGAAAATATTTTATTGACTATATCTGTATTATATATGTAATCATATAAGTACAGTACAGTACTGTGGATGCTACCTTGTGTTGGTTCTGAGAATCAGTGTTCCCATGGCTCAGTCTCTCACCTGGCCTCTTGGTTGGTGGTCTGGTTGGCCAGATTCATGAAGCAGTTATGCAACTACAGTACTTACGAACGTGTACACCTTTCCTCAATCTTTGATGGCTTTGGTTACATTTATTAAACAGTTTACAAGCATGAAAATTTCTCAATTAACTGTTGTTATTGTTATAAACAGCCTCCTGGTGCTTTGGAGCTCATTACCTGTTTAATAATTGTAAACAAAGCCGCCAAAGATTGAGAAAAGATGTACAGGTTTGTAACTGATTCGTGAATCTGGTCCCTAGTTAGCTAGATTGTTGGATGTGGTTGCTCGCAGCCAGACTTATATAAATCACAGCCCAGCCAGACTTATATAAATCACAGCCGGAAGACCTTGGTGGGCTGTATGTTTTTTTTTGTTTTGTTTCTCTTGGCATTTTCTGGAAAATTATATAGCACTTCTGGAGTCTCTCCAGCTAAGTTTCAGTGCTGATCTCTCCAATGCTTTTGTTACATTCACAGGTCTTCCATGTTTACTCTGCTAAGTTTGTGTGCTCTTGCTATAGTTCCTGCTTTCCTGCTGTATGAGAGATTTTGCTCTGTCTAGTGTTCTTTGTTTTGTCAACATTTCACTGACTTCTTGAAACACATTATCTGATTGTTTGTCAACCCTTATATCTTTGTTCCATATAACAAGGCTTAAGTCCCATGGCTGCTTCATCAAATGGTTATACTTAGCCAGTCCATTTTTCCTTCTGGGCTCCTTATTTACATAAGTTTGCCAGCTATAAGACATTAGTTTTTATGATGTCTTGCTCATTAATCTGAGCAAGTCTTGTTCCTTTGATTTGATTCAATATAGTGATTGCCAAGATGTATTTACATTATGATTCTAGTCATCATTTATGTGATAACGTTCTTGGGTCATTCCAGTGGTGGTGGTGCTCATATTTCTTGGCTCCTCTCACTGCTAGGCAAGGGTTTTATCACAATGGTTCCTTTAGCAGTGTTCTGCATCACAGGTGAGTACCAACCTATTTGTAGTTACTTCTTTATTTCCTTTCTGGCTGTGTGGTGTCTTTTTGAAGCTTATCATAAGGAACATCTGAATGCAATAGCTCAGAAATAAAGCCTGAATAAATGCAAAGCACTATTTTAAGAGCATAGCTATTCAGTTTCTCCAAGTTCAACTTATTGTCTCATAAATGAAATTTATACACGAGAGAGAATGAGTTAGAAAAAATATGAGGTGATCAGCATTTGGTAACCCTGGGGTAAGCATCAGTGTCATCTGATATAGGTGACTAATTTTGCAACCCGTCCTCACACTAGACTGGTTAAAGCAGCAGCTGTCCTCCCCATACAGATTCATCCATTTTAACATGCTGTGTATTAAAAATTGATTGTTCTTATATATAAATTAATATCATTATACATTAAAATTCTATGTATAGTTAGGCATAGGTTAGGTTAGGTGTTTACGTTCTGTTGGCGATTATTTGTATTTGAAGTACATAGATGAAGTATTTGTAGAATTGTAGTTTGAACAGATGTCGTTATCGAAGCACTTGTTCCGGAAGTGTTCGGACGTCATCAGTTGAGAGTCGTGTGTAAACTGTTTCTCTTTCATAAACGGGGGGTTTGGCGGCTGGATTAACGAGTATTTGGCCTTTGTTTATGAGGATGGGCTAAATTTTGGCAAGGCAGGCAAATATACTGTTGTGAAGCCTGGCTTGGCTGTCATTTCTGATGACAAGTGAGGATTCAGTCAGTCTAAGGTGGATCTGTGCCAGTGTCTGATTGTCATTTAGCTTGACTGTTTCTGACACTGTTGAGTCTTACCTTACGGAGACTGAATGGCTATCATCAGAAAAATACTTTTCATTTTGAGTAAGTCTTATTTTGTTCCTCAGGCCGTCAAGTTGCTGTATTTAAAACCAGAGCAAGAGAGGTAAAGGGAAATGAACGCCACACGTTATATATACGTCGTAGGCAAGGATGAACACCTCCAGTTATCTACTATCCTGATGATATTTGCAGAATGTAAATCTCAGTTGCTACTATTACTATAGTGTAAGTTTTGCACTTGGAAAGCTTGACTTTGATGTCTCATGATGAAATGGGAGTGCAGTATGAATATCTAATATGGTAATGTGGCCCAACATCACTCATATTTTACTGTTCAAATTTTCTAGGTTTGCGTGACGGTAAACAAACATGTGGAGCGTCATCTTTCAATTATTTTACGTGTTGCAAACCCTTAAATTTTGTTTTGTATAAACATATAACACAAAAATGTGATTTCAGTATTAGGGATTCAGCATATGCTGCCATCACATCAATTGAAAAGATATGTTTAATATAATAAGGAGTTACCAATCCTGTATATACAACTTCTTTTAATTAGCAAGAACTGTTTTCAATCTACATTTTTTCACCCACTCACTCTAGCTTTGTTGATACATTTGCTCAGATTTAACAACTACATTTGTTTTACTGATATCAAAATTCTGAAGTTTTACAATGTCATCTTTTCTTCTGGATTATTATTAATGATACAGTATATTTCATGTCCAGTCAACAAAGTACTGTGTGTTGATTTCTCTCTTCTCCTGTGTTTCAGTACTTCAAAGTATACAGAGTGAGATGCATGGTATCTGACAATGTTGGTACCAGCATGGATGGTTAGCAGGACATTTCTGACATGGTGTATGCCTCCTTTACTACTTGCTATTAGAAATTAAAGCAAAGAATATTCATAGAGGACCGCCACAGAGCTGCTATATCACTAATAAGTTTGTCATATATCTTAGACAACTGGTGCGGCCTCACAATAGCTACGTTTATGCATGTTCAGTTGCAATCAGTAACACTATATCTGATTGAGCCAAGAGCTGTCAGTTAACTGATAATTCAAGATACCATATGCCAGTCTACTTGTAAACAAAATATGTATAAATATAGATACTTATTCTCTAAGTTAGTTTTCATGTTCCCTCAAGATGTTGAACTAGTTGTTGGAGGACTTTCATTGATGAGTTGGGTGTGATATGAGATGTTAAAGTGCCGGGTTTTCTTTATGAATGTGAGGCAGAATGTTCATTTACTGAACCTGAAGCAAGTGCTTCAATGTGAGGTCTCTTAGCATCCTTCTCCCAGCAGTATTTTTTTAAGTTTGGTTTGTTTAATGTTCATGAAGTCAATAAAGATGTTATACATGCTCACAATTTCACTCATATCAAACTCGGTTCCCTTCTACATAAGTTGAAATAATTTCTCATAGAGCACATAATTTAATCTGAGCTTGAAGCTGTTGAACTTTAAAGACGTCTGGATTAATATCCTCCAACTTGTTCAATATTTTAAAGGTCTCGATGAGATCAGCCCTGGCATGTCTGGTTTGCAGCATTGTGGAAAATTTCCACCCATATTATTGAATAACATGTCTCCATGTACTTACATGGTCTATGTAAGCACATGGACCAGGCATGGCTATTTGTAGAACAAGCCAAGCTCTCCCTAGACAGTCAGCATATTTTGACCATTTTGAGAACACCATCCCAGGGAGGCATCTGTAATGGTTCCACACCAGGATATGTAATATAATCTAATAGCTATAAGCATATCATGTTAATACTCCAAAATAAATACATATACTCAATAAATAATTGTTTAAACAGATACGTTTGGTTAATGATTGAATAAATCGACCTTTAAAACAGACAGGGTAACTATACCCTGCATGACTGGGTTAGGATCTAGTCGTCTCCACGCATGACTGGGTTAGGATCTAGTCGTCTCCATGCATGACTGGGTTAGGATCTAGTCGTCTCCATGCATGACTGGGTTAGGATCTAGTCGTCTCCATGCATGACTGGGTTAGAATCTAGCCATCTCCATGCTTTCTGCCCTTTAAGTGTCGGTAATTATTTTTCTGTCAGAGCTATAGTTTCTTGAAGTAGTATAATTTTAACAGTAGAGCCTGGTATACCTTGTGAATGTAACTGCAGTTACCTGCCAAATAAGTAACTAATGGTCGGAAGACTGACAAATGCTTTTTAATATATAAAAAATGCAAAACCTTGTGTGTGGCCGTAACAATGCACATCCTAACTCCCAAATCAACAACCTTGGAGCAGGTTGATGAAGAGATTAAAGAACCTGTCAGCATCCACCAATCTGAAAGTTGCATAGGTGAAAGCTGCATTAATGATAAAAAAGGCAGCCAGACCTTACGAATGGTCAAACAAACCTTTCACTTTAAGGAAAAGAAGGTATCTTGAGATGGTTGTCTCGAGATGATTTCAGGACTTAGCGTCCCTGCGGCTCGATCCTCGACCAGGCCTCCTTTTTAGTCACAGCTGTCAGGCCCCCAGTATAGTATACCCCCATGGTATAACTAAGATATAGTTATTCAGCTGTACAAATCTCTGATGCATCCCCCACTTAGATTATTGTATCTCAGCATAGAGACCTCATCTTCAGAAAGCCATATTTGCTTTCATACAGACATGTTCATTAAAAAAAATCAACAACGACAAAAGTCATTCCAGGAACAGTTGAGAGGCCACAGGGTTATCTTGAGATGATTTCGGGGCTTTAGTGTCCCCGCGGCCCGGTCCTCGACCAGGCCTCCACCCCCAGGAAGCAGCCCATGACAGCTGACTAATACCCAGGTACCTATTTTACTGCTAGGTAACAGGGGCATAGGGTGAAAGAAACTCTGCCCATTGTTTCTCGCCGGCGCCCGGGATCGAATCCGGGACCACAGGATCACAAGTCCAGTGTGCTGTCCGCTCGGCCGATCGGCTCCCTGGGTTAACAACACTGCAAACCGGACATGACTGGGCTGATCTCATCAAAAGCTTTTAAAATACACTGTACTGAACAATTTGGAGGATACTGATCTAGACCACATCTTTAAAAGGTCAATATAACACAAATAAGGAACAACAGTTTCAAACTCAACAAGCTATAATGTATGACAGAAAACAGATGTTTTTTTTCACCCATAGGATTATAAACCAATGGAACTGCCTACCTGCTGAAGGAATTTGTCTAATTGAAGTGCTACCTCAGGCTTATTAGTCATTGAATATTTGATTTCAATTGCTGTAACTTAATAATTTTTTTTCAAATTCAACAAGCTTTAATCCAATGAAATATGAGTTAAAACTACTATCTGACAAACAGAATATAACTTGATAATGAATAATTGATATTACTTAAATTTGTTTAAAGTAGTATGGGCTCTGCTGGGACAAGTGCTATAATAGATTTTAGTTAATAGGGAGAATAAAATCAAACATACTATTTATGATTACATTTTTATAAAATTATTTGTCATAAAATTCCATAAAGGCCATATACTAATAATAGTCAAGTGTGTTTATTTAGTTCTGCATACAACATGTATGCTGTATTGTGTATGTACAGTATGTATTTGGCCCGAAACGCTGTCCATATTAGTGGCTTTAGGCATAGAAATCCAACATTCTGTTTGTAACTCATCTTGTATGTACACGTATGTACTTTTACCTGAATAAACATTTATTATTTATTTATTTAAAACTTGTATATATTTTTGTATATATATATACAGAGCTACACAAATAAATGAATGTGTGTAATGTATAGACCCGTCGGTTAACATGTAAGTTCGTATACGAGAAATAGAGGGGAAAAAATAAACTAGAAATGTAAAAAGAAATTTTTCCGAAAAATTTATGAAAAAAACTCTAGGGAAAAAAACCGTCAGGTTCATGGCGTAAATGCGACCGTGTTTTGTTTGTACTCATCAATAAGTGAAGTCCTGATCCGCTTTATAAAAGTCCTTAATTGTTCCTAACTGATTATTAAGACGTCTGGCAAACATCCTCTGGATGTTTCCTGCCAGCCTGCAGGAACATCCTGCCTAAAATATACGATGATGTACTGTACATTTAAGAAACAAATCTGGGTCACAGGTCTGTGGAGTGTGGTTAGGCTTACGGAGTCAGCCGGTCCCTCCCCCACCACCGACACACCTCCCCCTCTCCCCCCACCACCGACACACCTCCCCCTCTCCCCCCACCACTGACACACCTCCCCCTCTCCCCCCACCACCGACACACCTCCCCCTCTCCCCCCCCACCACCCCCACACCTCCCCTTCTCCCCCCACCACCCCCACACCTCCCCCTCTCCCCCCACCACCCCCACACCTCCCCAGAGAACATATACGGCACGCATAGACGCGATAAAACACCTAAATTATTGGGATCATCTCAAAGCTCTCCAAATGTACTCTCTAGAAAGGAGACGAGAGAGATACCAAATAATATACACATGGAAAATACTGGAGGGTCAGGTCCCAAATCTACACAGTAAAATAACAACGTACTGGAGTGAACGATATGGAAGAAAATGCAAGATTGAACCTGTGAAGAGCAGAGGTGCCATAGGCACAATCAGAGAGCACTGTATAAACATCAGGGGTCCGCGGTTGTTCAACGTCCTCCCAGCGAGCATAAGAAATATTGCCGGAACAACCGTGGACATCTTCAAGAGAAAACTGGACGATTTTCTAAGAGAAGTTCCGGATCAGCCGGGCTGTGGTGGGTACGTGGCCCTGCGGGCCGCTCCAAGCAACAGCCTGGTGGACCAAACTCTCACAAGTCGAGCCTGGCCTCGGGCCGGGCTTGGGGAGTAGAAGAACTCCCAGAACCCCATCAACCAGGTATCAACCAGGTATCCCTCTCCCCCCACCACCGACACACCACCCCCACCCCCCACCCCAAACCCATACACACACACACACACACACACTCTCTCAAAGGTCACGTGGTTCACGGCTCACTTCAACACCCATATATCGCTTCCTGCCTGCCTGCCTGCCTCCTTCCCAGCCTGCCTCCTTTCCAGCCTGCCTCCTTCCCAGCCTGCCAGCCTGCTTCCTTCCCAGCCTGCCTCCTTCCCAGCCTGCCTCCTTCCCAGCCTGCCTCCTTCCCAGCCTGCCTGCCTGCCTCCTTCCCAGCCTGCTTCCTTCCCAGCCTGCCTCCTTCCCAGCCTGCCTGCCTGCCTCCTTCCCAGCCTGCCAGCCTGCTTCCTTCCCAGCCTGCCTCCTTCCCAGCCTGCCTCCTTCCCAGCCTGCCTCCTTCCCAGCCTGCCAGCCTGCTTCCTTCCCAGCCTGCCTCCTTCCCAGCCTGCCAGCCTGCTTCCTTCCCAGCCTGCTTCCTTCCCAGCCTGCCTCCTTCCCAGCCTGCCAGCCTGCTTCCTTCCCAGCCTGCCTGCCTGCCTCCTTCCCAGTCTGCCTGCCTGCCTCCTTCCCAGCCTGCCAGCCTGCATCCTTCCCAGCCTGCCTCCTTCCCAGCCTGCCAGCCTGCCTCCTTCCCTGCCTGCCAGCCTGCTTCCTTCCCAGCCTGCCTCCTTCCCAGCCTGCCTCCTTCCCTGCCTGCCAGCCTGCCTCCTTCCCAGCCTGCCAGCCTGCCTCCTTCCCTGCCTGCCAGCCTGCCTCCTTCCCAGCCTGCCAGCCTGCCTCCTTCCCAGCCTGCCTCCTTCCCAGCCTGCCTGCCTGCCTCCTTCCCAGCCTGCCTGCCTGCCTGCCTCCTTCCCAGCCTGCCAGCCTGCCTCCTTCCCAGCCTGCCAGCCTGCTTCCTTTCCAGCCAGCCTGCCTCCCTCCCTGCCATCATGCTAACGGGTAGTGTGTTAGGCTTATCTTCGGGAATGAGCCGGTCTCACCCCCACCACCAACAAACCACCCGCCCCCCTACATCCCATCTCTCATATTTGCGAGCAAGAGAGACAGAGGCTAGGTGTCCGTGTGTGTACAAGTTTGGACTTACATTGAAAATTCAAGTTTGTGTGTTTAAGTTATACATAATTAACAAGTATACTGGTAGTCACTCTTTTTTGTACATGTGCACTGAAAGCACCATTGTTAAAAATTATAACTACAGCTTTCACATCTTTGTTTCAGTTAATATTTTATAATTATATATAGTACTCCTTTGCATTACAATACAAAAATTAGTTGAAATCTCATAAATCTTTAGATCACATTTAATTTAATTATTACATTAATACATTTGTATTTTCCTAAAACACACACAATAAATTATTCTGGTGAAAAGTGTGCCAGTGTAACCTGACACAGATCTCAAATGATATAGTTCGAAAGAAAATAAACAGCTAACATAGGTTTACCTCGATCATCCCTCGCCTCCTTGGTATCATATTTTAAAAATGGAAAAATCATTCTTCGTAGAGAAAATTATGGGACAAGCTCCTCAGATAGAGACTGAAGAAATGAATTTCCATTGATGATCTTTGTTGTTGCAATGACATACTCTGGTCCACCTGGTAAACATTAAAAATTCATTAAATTACTCTCTTATATATTCAACAAAAACTGCGATGGAAAAATGGATGGTTTAAAGCAGTTTGATTATCGTCTCTGATGGAGGCCCCATGTAAAGATCATTTATCCTAGAGAATTTACCAATAAACATTTTAAGTCAATGCCTACATTGATACAGTACTGGTATTTACTACTTCAAGCAACACGAATGGCTCACAGCTGAATTGGCTCATAACAATTCTGCTATGTCAAACCGCAAATATAATATAACTTGGAGCTAAGTTGTCCTGTTTAACTGGGCAAATCTCTCTACGTATTAATATACAATAATATGCATAGACATATCAAAATGTAATGAAATGCCCTTTTCTGGCGGAGCTCTCATTAGATTCCCAAGCAAAGTGTTGGTGCCAAGTTCCCTGAACAAAGACTCGGGCAGTTGCACCATGCTTCCGAGACCCACTGGGAGCTAGGTTCAGAATCTGGTTCTCTCTACAAGGTGAGGTGGAGGAGGACGGGGGGGGGGGGGAGGGACATAAGGATTAGCAATAAACCAAACATCAATGGAAAAAATCTCACCAGCATGTATAAGTATAACAAAACAAACAACTGCTTGAAAAAAATTAGTTACCTGCAAGGGTAAACAATACCATGATGTATATGACTTGGGTATCTAGACAGCCTGTCTCATCACTCAAAAGTCACCCAAACCAAATCCCTCTACCCCATAGGAAAGAAAGGAACAGGGAGCACCTGAGGGTCCCACCTGAAAAGGGTTATTTCATTATATTCAATGCATGATTTTTGGGAGGACCCCTCAGTAGCTCCCTGAGCCATCTCACAATAGTGCCTCAGCAGAGGAGGCATGCATTTCTGGAAAAGAACAGAGCAGTAAACAGAAAAATATCATGTGTGTGTGTGTATGGAAGATTATGGCAGAAGAGAAGGTCCAAGGCAGAGCATCGACAGCATGCCAAATGTCGAAACACATCACGTGCACAGCAAAACCAAGGGCTACCCTTAACAAAGCCAAAGGCCAACATCCTGGTGGACCACCCAGAACAAGCCCTGAGCCAGAAAAGCAAAAGTGTGCTACCCACACCTCAGAGAACCAGATTCTGATCCTGCCTCCCAATAAGCAAGGGTGGGTCTCGGGTGTTGTGAAACTCCAAGACGTCGCTGGACTAGCACTTAACTCGGAAAACTACTAAGAGTCCCTCCGAGAAAAAGAAAAATTATAATGCTGCATCAATAAAGTTTTACCTTGATCAACCCTAGATGTTAAGAAGCGGAGCGCAGCAATCTCGGAGTAGGTGCAGCCCCCAATGAAAAACACTAAAGCTGTCCCACCTTCACTTCCACTTTGCACAGAGCCTCCTGAACCTCCTGAATGTGAAGAGAAGAATTTGGATTAATTCAGCTAAGAATTATGTTAACATGATTGTCTTTTGAAGAAAAATTACAGGAATGATATCATAGATTATAATAGACATGCATCAGAAATAACTTTAAGCAAAAATTTAAACCGAGTGTACAGTAATGTAACATCCCTTTCCAGGTGGCACGTCAGAGTCTTCCCCAAGCTTATGTCACCTACATGTTAGGAACTTTATGCATATGCCAGACTCCTGTGACTATTTCTACCCACCACAGACAAGGCCTGTATCAAACAGTCTAGTTCCCTCAATAGTGCAGTAGCACACCAGGATCAAAGATCATCCAATTACCGATGTGAACTGCCCACTAAATATCAAAAGAACAGCACAAAACTCCTTCTGAGAAATGCATGGCAATTATGGAACCACCAAACAAATTTTTGCAATGCACTAACAATGCACTGCACTGTTAGTGCATTGTCTTCTCTCATCCTCTCGTCTTCTACCAGTTTGTGTTTAACTACATAAGCATTCTTAACCACAAATTCCTTGTATACCTAACACATGATTTTAAGATCCATGTTAAAAATTTGCTAGTCAAGGATTACTATATTTTTTTTTTTGTGCCTACCAGCCAACTCTTTCTCATTTAACTTCTCAACTTGTATATCTTTGTGGGGGGGGAGGGGATACCATCATCATCCATTTACCATTCAATATTTTCTTGCATAACATTATTATGTGACCAAATAATATTTCCAGATATTCCTCTTATAATTTGTGAATCACATACATATGCTAACATGCTTCTTTCTACAAGTACAGTACATATTATTCCAAGCAAAAGAAAATATTACTTCTCTGCCTGAGGGCACTAGGCAATTGTTGCGTCTCGGTGAGGGTTGTTCCCGGAAGAAGCTGAAGGACGCCAGTGATTGCCCGCCATCCTGGCCACTGCAGAAACTCCACCAGTCGTGCACTCAGTGGAGCGTACCTATAACAAAGCATCTTCTTAAGTCAATGTTAAATACAGTATATTAAGGAGTCATAGCAAGTCATATTACACAGAGAAATCACAAAAACATGATATATTAATGAACAAATTCACAAGCGAGTTGATGAGGATTGTGGTACAGTTGACTAGAGGGCGTCTGGAAACATCCAGCGCACGGGTTCAATTCCTTATCAAGGCCCCTTGTGAATTTGTTTAAGTCATATTAGCCTTGTGCAGATAGTTAATCACTGCTACTGCTAACCACCAACTTCTATTTGACTGCCTGGTTACTACTTCTTCCCACCAGGTGACCTCACTGGCTGTAAAACCATAAGGCACAGTCCACCTTCTTTTCATCTCAATGTACCCCAGTAAGTTCAAGTTCAAGTGTGTATATTGAGACAAGAAAAAATACATCTCAAAGGGATAGAGTAGTTTAGGCTATTTCTACCCCCCTCACCCCTGTAAGGGCTCAAGGTAAGCTGGAACAAACAGGAGTGACCAAATGATCTGCTCAGAGAGATTTACATTTACACTCAAAACATGAATTCTGAGCTTCAATCACTTGATTGCTCTAAGGCAAAAATCCCCACAGCTAAAAAATTTAATAAAATAAAATATATGTGGAACGTAGCCAAGCCACGAGAAAGATATAGAAGAAGCTACAAAGAAAGAGAACTGCAGCCCCAGAGCATCAGACATCGAAGGTCAGAGCCATTGCTGAAGAGTGGGATAGCAGGATAAGGCAGCCAGTGCCACACAAAGGCAAGTAGGTATGGTGCGGCATATGCGCAAATTCCCGGGCACAAATGTCAGCACAGGTCACAGCAGGAAAGAACACCTTTAGGGGTCATGAACTTCTGAAGGTCACAGTCCACATTTTACATCTCTGACTAACTAAGCTTCACAAGCCTTTGGAGCAGCTGAAGCATGTGTGCTTTAGAACATGGAACAATGACATGTAGGCTAAATGTGGTAAAATGCCTGAGACACCAGCAAAGAGCAGCCACAGGTGAGGATAGACAGATGGCCCCACAAATCATACCCAGCTTAGAATTGGGCTCCATTAAACGAATGAAATTTCATTCCTCGCCAAGAATGAGGGATCATGATAGAACCATACAAAGATGTCACTAGGACCAATGACAAAGGTTGGACAACAAAGAAAAGCATGAGGCTCCCTAACATGGCTGCCAGTAGCCAAAGTCTGTTTGTGTATCTATAGCCCAGATCAACCACACCATGTGACCAAACATATATGGTTCACCTTCATGCACAGTACTTCACATTGCTCAAAGAACCTATGTTATTTCAATGTTTATAGCTAATGTATTTACTGGCAGCTACGACCATGTTTTTGATACATCACCAATCAAATATATATGCTATTTACATGCTCAAAATTATGTGTTCTCATAAAAAAAACATGAAAATCACTTCCAATAAAGTATGATGAAACATACAAACATTGTTTTCCACAAAGTACCCACATGTATTTGGTGCATCTTATATGCCAGCAAATACAACAGTAATCAACAAAAATCAAAGCTAACTAACCCAGAGTGAACATAAGACATATCAGTGGGATCATGCTCACTGACATCGTCCACTGTAAGCTGCATAGTCTTGCGGATTGTAGCATACGTGCTGCGTCCTTGCTGAACGTACAGGAGACCAGCTTTTTCCAAGTTCTCTAGGGTGAGGAAATGTTCAAATCCATAAGTGTGTAGTATATCTCTCTTGTAGTGCTCCAAAACCTTGGGCTTGAACCCACTGTTCACAATACACTGGAGGCATATCAATCTCAACACCTGCAACAAAGAGATCAATATCTGTGTCAGCTTCATCATTTAACAAGGTACATCCATGGCAGTTTAAATTGTAATGCTGAAGAACTGCTATTACTAAACCAAGCTGTTATATTTATTGTGACTCATGTACAGTTTTTACACTACTGTACTTGAAAAGTATTTTTAGGATAAAAGTAGCAAATTAAAATAAGTCAATACAGCCAAATCCAATCTTCGTTTAAACTACTACTGTTACTTTAATGATTTTTAATAAAATACAACTAAGGGCAGACCAGGTGGCTTTAGTTGCCAATGGAAATGTTACTTTCAGTTTTCCGTAACTCTCTGGCTGTGGCACTTGACTACATTCACCAGATTTATTACAAACAATTTACTCTCTTGATATACTCGGCTACATCCCAGAGTTTGAGCTTGCGTCTCAAAATGAGTGAAGCCTGGATGTGAATGGTAACACAGTAAACATACCCACAAAATTGTATTACAGCTGACACACTAAATAGGTCAATGTAATAGACTACTGTACCATGTTAACCTATCTACATGTATCTATATGCTCTGATTCCTTGTGTTCTATCAAGGAGCTTCTTTTCCCCTAAGGGTTACCTCATGTAATCAGTCCCCCAAAGCCATTTGAAGTATGTAATATATCTACTCTAAATATTAATGATTCTTTGATCTCATATCACAGTTATAGATGTTGCCAGTTATTCACAGAGAGAAACAAAGTTAAGGTTTAGGAAGCTTGAATACTTCCATCGAAAGCACATCGTGTATGTACTGTACATATGTAAAAGCATGTAGGGTGAAGACTCCGGGGGATCTTGATCTTGAGATCTTGAGATGATTTCGGGGCTTTTTAGTGTCCCCGCGGCCCGGTCCTCGACCAGGCCTCCACCCCCAGGAAGCAGCCCGTGACAGCTGACTAACACCCAGATACCTATTTTACTGCTAGGTAACAGGGGCATAGGGTGAAAGAAACTCTGCCCATTGTTTCTCGCCGGCGCCTGGGATCGAACCCAGGACCACAGGATCACAAGTCCAGTGTGCTGTCCGCTCGGCCGACCAGCTCCCTCGGGAGACTTTCGTATGCCCCCCATCCGACCGGGATGGGGGGCATACGATTTATATCGTATATACGTGGTTTGCTGTGTATAATACGGCAAACCACCAAATGGTTCTGCCGTGTGCAACAAATCTCTTAATAGGAAACATTGTTGCAGTCTTCATAACAAAAAGGACAACATTAAAACTTCACCTACTGTATTCAAGGATTTCTTTTGTGCAATGCAGTCTTCTATGAAAGGACTTATCTTATCAGTTTCAAGTCCTTTCAAAAATTCTTGCTCCATCTGCAATGCAGGTCGGAAAATGTCTAACGCTATTTGTTCCTGAATCAGTTCAGCAATTGTTGTATCTGTAAAAAAAAAAAAAAAAAAAAAAAAAAAAAAAAAAAAAAAAAAAGAATTTAATTTGAATACAAACCCTTTCAAGACATCAATATTCTTTATAGTTACTACAGCTTCATAAGCTCTAAGCTTCATTAGAACCCTAATGCTACACAAGTGTTCAACTGGTACAAAATCCCATCGGAGACTGGTAGTGCCAATCAGTAATTAAAGAAATAACTCAATGATACAGGTCTGCTTATAAGTCTCATAAAGCTGTTTTAGTGAGCCAAGTACTAGCTAAGACCAGTTAACAACATTGGAAAACTATTAATCAGTAGATTGTAGTGCACAAGAATTATTAGCATATAGAGTACAGAACTTGACAACCGACTAACCAACGTACAGTGCCCCCTCGGAGAACAAGTGAGCAGGCCACCCACTGAAAACACATGCAGTATACAGAGAATATGCAGTATCTTATAGCTAAGTAAACTAGTGTATTGTATAATTTTAATTTTATAATGTAATTAAACATATACATGCAATGAACAATTAAAAAAAAACTAAATAAATAAAATATTTTGGGTGAGTGCCCCACCTTGGGGCCTCGTAGCCTGGTGGATAGCGCGCAGGATTCGTAATTCTGTGGCGCGGGTTCGATTCCCGCACGAGGCAGAAGCAAATGGGCAAAGTTTCTTTCACCCTGGATGCCCCTGTTACCTAGCAGTAAATAGGTACCTGGGAGTTAGTCAGCTGTCACGGGCTGCTTCCTGGGGGTGGAGGCCTGGTCGAGGACCGGGCCGCGGGGACACTAAAGCCCCGAAATCATCTCAAGATAACCTCAAGATAACCACCCTCCAGTGGGGCAGAAGCCAGCTGATCGAGTAAACATTGGTCTCACGGCAAGAGCCAGAGGACTAATACAGTACTGTATTATCAATAAAATAAAATATACACTATACTGTATATCATTCTGCTAAGTAAATAAGACAACTTAAAAGCGGCAGGGATGTCAGTAAGCTATGATAAATGTGGCTTATGATCTTAAGATTTCCTCGGTCAGCTTATGTGAGGCCTACAACAACCAGGAAATTGACAGCAAAGTCCTCTTCCACTTTTCTACATTAAATGCTCAGTAAACTTAAGAGTACCATTGAGAATAATGATGAAACATTTGATGAGAATAATAATGAAACAATTGATGAGAATAATGAAACAACTGATGAGAATAATAATGAAACAATTGATGAGAATGATGAAACCAGCGGATCAGAGGAAGGAAACCTCCAGAAGGATGAATCCAAGATACCCAAAGGCATCTGGAAACGAACCCAGGGGTAGCCCGAGGAAAACTCATCATCTTACTGCATATATTTTCTTAACCTTTAAATGGTCAAGCTAATTAAAAGTCCTACATTGAGTGCACAGAAAAAGGTATTCAGAATACATAAGAACCAATCACACATGATTGGTCCTTGGGGTCAACGTCCAATTTGAGTACAGGTGGTAACAGTAGCTAGTAATTGCACCCATTTAAATGCAGGAAAAAGTTGCCTGCATATACAGATAGAAGCATTCAAGTCCAGTTACAATAATACATGACAGAGAAACAAGACTTACGTGTAGCTACAGATTGCTTGTAAACCTCCATTTGAGGAATCTTTTGGACAAACTGCTTTAATTCTCCCACAGTTTTTGCAGCGTGGCGTTCCTCATACTGAGCCACTACAGACTTAGCATGCCGAGAGAGACGTGGTCCCACTGCTGAGAAGTTGCAGTCCCTGATCTCTGCATAAAGTACTTCTGAGGAGAACAGTTGTACTGTTTGGATTTCCAGGAATGATGAGTTATCAGGCGGATTACTCTCAGCGCTAGTCTGTGCAAATTTCTCACCAGGCAATTTCACAGTACCTACAAACATAGAAAAAACCTACTTAGTTCAAAAGTTGATCATGAACAATATTACACTCATTTTTATGCAAGACAATTTTATTGTCCAGTACAGTACTTGTTTTTTTAGCTTTACCTTTCAATACAGAACATTATCATAATATAAAAAACTTACAAGAATGTAATAAATTATTCTTCAAGTCTAGTAAAACAACAATTTATAAAGCCAGCATTGAATGTAATGAAATGCCATTTTCTGGGTGAGTCCCAGAGACTCCCTGGAGTTTCCCAGGCTCCCGGAGGCTCCCAGGCTGAATGGATATGTATAACTTTCTGGAATCAGTCAAAGTGCGGGCTCACCCTTCCCCCTCCTGGGGAGGGGGGAGGTAGCGCAGACGGCGGCGGGGCGACGTGGTGACGTTATGCTAGTTTGATAATTTTGTTTGGCGAGTTCTGTCCACTAGTTCGGCTTTCGGTAGCAATATTTTAGTCAGAATAGGGGTTTGTTTTGAGGCACCTACCTTTCTGGGTGCCTGTCCCAGTCAATGGCAGACATAGAATGCTCCCAACCACAGGGGGTTTCTATAGGCCATTGCTCCTCGTGCCTCTCTGAGGGGGCCAGGTTCTGGCTCGTGGTCCCCAGTAGGCAAGAACTCCAAGCACTTTGATGCCAGAAAGTTATACATATCCATTCAGCCTGGATAGCTCCAGGGAGCCGACGGGGCTGCCCCCAGAAAATACTGTACTTCCTTTTTTACCATTTTGGTTAAGAATGAGAAATGTCCAAAAATACACCAAAGGGAACTTACTATTAATGATCCCATAAAATTGGTCTATTAAGCCATCATATGTTAGCTGTGTTGCCAAAGGTGTGATCAGATCTACAGAACGATCAATGAGGATTAGTTGATCTATCTGAGGGGTCACCTGCAAGAAAAAACAAGACATTGAGTGTAGACGAAATGCTTCTTTCTAAGCTAGTCCCTCGGTCACTATGTCAGATAATATTCCACTTCCCATCGAACATCGCAATCTCCAGTCTAAGCCAGTACAATTTTTCATCACTTGATGCAGTGAAGAAGGTTTCTAAAAGCCCCTGCCAGACCATAATAATAGCAAAGGAGACACTTAAGAATTCTCAATACAACCTTGAATGACCATCTTAAGATACATTCAACAATCAAAAGTCTCCTCCGAACAACATTTAAAATCAAATAAGACTGACACAGAATTGCTCTGGTATTCCCAACAATTAATAAAATTTGTCTTCATAGATGCTGGCACTACCACTCACCAGGCAGCAGCAAGTGTGTGTAAACAGTCTGCCAGCAAATGCACCTCATTTGCACATATGCACCCCACTGACAAAGATCATTGTCAAACTCGGTGGTAAGGTCATGAGAGCAGAAGAGTAATGACATGATCCAAACTTATGTATATTATTTGTACGTTCCATATTTCACCTACACATTTCATTATCTCATAAAATTGGATCGTGAACTAGTCTCTCTAGGCCAACATTATTAGAAGAGGTACACCCCTTCTCCTGGAAGGAGTACTCACACTCCTGGAATGTGGAATAGGAAAACATAGACCCCACACATCCTATAAATAATGTGAGAAATCTTTAAAGAATTCTGATAAAGAAAGAGATCTAAGGGGTGGTTCTTGATAAAAAAACTGTCACCTGACGACCACATTAAGAACATTGTGCGAGGAGCCTATACTACACTTTAAGTACAAAATTGCTTTTAGATACATGGATGGAGAAATACTAAAGAAATTGTTCACGACTTTTGTTAGACCAAAGCTGGAATATGCAGCAGTTGTATGGTGCCCATAAATAAGAAGCACCTCAACAAACTGGAAAAAGTGCAACGACATGCCACTAAGTGGCTCCAGAACTGAAGGACAAGAGCTACGAGGAGAGGTTAGAGGCATTAAATATGCCAAAACTAGAAGGTAGAAGAAAAAGAGGCAATATGATCACTACGTACAAAATATTAACAGGAATTAATAAAATTGATAGGGAAGAATTCCTGAGACCCGGAACTTCAAGAACAAGAGGTCATAGATTTAAACTAACGAAACAAAGCTGCCGGAGAAATATAAGAAAATTCACTTTTGTAAACAGAGTGGTAGACGGTTGGAACAAGTTAGGTGAGAGGGTGGTGGAGGCCAAAACCGTCAGCAATTTTAAAGCGTTACATGATAAAGAGTGCTGGGAAGATGGGACACCATGAGCGTAGCTCTCCTTCTGTAACTACACTTAGATAATTACATTTAGGTAATTACACACAAGATCCGGATGAGTTAAAACACTAATGATAAATATATTATATATTCTCATATGTTTTAATTATGTTCCAACACCACCCAGTGTCCTAATTACCCTAATCACTTAATTACTAACCAGCTTCTCTACCAGGTAGTGACCTAGGTCACCTGAGGCTCCTGCCAGGCAACCCCTTCATTCACTCATCTCGTCTCACATGAGAAACTCGCACCACTGTCTGGCCCCATCCTACTGCTTCACAGTTACAATAAATGGTGCTGCCTATTGCTGGAACATTTGTTCCTCTAGGAGCCTTTATTACCTGCATTACTGTTATTTTATCTACCTATATTGTTCATGCAATATCTTACACTGAAAACAGCATTATGCATAGAATATTCTCAGGCTATAGGGGTAAGACTCCATAATAATGTTTGTGAAATATTTTATATATCCTTAACGTACCTGTGGTTCATTTCCACCCATCTCTCGCCTCATTTGTACCATCAAGTCATATATTTGTTTGGCTGCTGGACCTTTGCCATAAATGTTGGGAATAAGACCAAAGATACCTTGAATGGTCATAAGAGCTTGAGCTACTAAGAAGAGACTTGTGGGGTCACTATCCAACTGCAAGTCCTGAAAAAAAATAAGCACTGAATATAATGCAACACCCTTTTCTGGAAAGGCCAAAATGGCTCCCTAAGCTCATGCACTGGTACCCCCTAAAGCCAATATCATTTCACGAGGTCTACAACCACCTTATAAGAGGACTAGGAGCAGGGACCAGACATCTGCCCCATCGTAGAGGTGGAAGAGTTGCTGGTGTCATTCCAGCTTGTGCAGTAGTCAAAACTATTAGCCAGGTGTGCACTAGAGAGAATCATTACCATTTCATTTTTATTCTTTTCACAGTTCCTCACACCCTCTCATGGGGTTCAGTATTTTTATTCCGTATGTGCATTCTGCTGAAAGTCGGAACAATGAACACAATCTAGTCTTCCAAGCTTCAGGAAGGTTTGTTTACCTTAGTTCTTGGCTAGTTGTCTCCCCTTCACCCAGTTCAGTCTGACTGCTGCATGCTTGGTTCTTCTCAAAGAGCCGAGTACCCCATTTGCCTTAATAATTTATTTCCAGCTGGATTTTAAAATTTAACAGAGTTTTGATGGGTTGTGCCACTGCTGGGTTTTTCATTTTTGAGATGTGTGAGGTGGAGTTTTCCCCTCTTTGTGTGGCTCCTCATGCCTTTTCTCATTTCAGGGTGCCAGATTTTGGTATTTCAGGGCTTATCTTGTTTTCTTAGCTGGATGGCCACAATGTCTTCTCTTCTCTGAATCTGCTATGGTATTTACACAATTCTTTGAGTGTTCTAGGAGTTTTATGGCCCCTGTTCGATACTCACATTGCCTGTGTTGCTCCTGTTGGAAAGCCAACAGAGTTGTTACGCTACAAGGGACTGGTTTTTGCTAGGGAAAGGCAGACTTGTCTGCCTATGGTGTGGAGGAAACAAGTTTTCATGTCTAGAGGTCAGTCTTGGGGTTTTTAGTGTTGTATTTTTATTTCATGATTTTGACCCTTGCTGCCCTTGTTTTCTTCAGGCTATTAATCTTGTGCCTCAGGTTTGCAGCTCATTTAACCTTCCACCTCTAACTGGTCTTGATTTCTTTGCTTAGCTATTACCAGGGTGGGTCTGAGGCATCAGTCTCAGTGTTGCCCTTGTGGAGGAATGTGGCGGCTGATTAGTGCCTCTTTTGGGTTCCTCTTGTGTTGTGGCCAAACATTCTGGCTCAGTTCTTGGGGGGCTGTGGTGGCCATGATGAGTGGCTCTCCCTGTGTTACCCCTGGTCAAGGGGAAGGGAACTATCAGGAGAAAACACCAAGCCATTACAACTATATAACACTGGGAAGGGGTCAGGATAAGGATTTGGGATGGGATGGGGGGGGGGTTACAATGGTGCCCTGTAATTTACAATCATTTTGGAAGTAGGCTCAGGTCATTTAAGGGTTGTTTCCAAATTGGGTTGTGACCACCTAATCAAAATTAGGTGGTCCTCGGTCTTGTGTTTTAGGTTCTGGTGCTTCCGTTTCCTTCAGCCAGGTCTGGGTTTCTATTCCTCAATGTCCTTCAATGAACAGTGGTTCCCAAAGCCTATGGTGGTTTAGTTTTTGTTCAACCCATGTTCCATGAGCTTCTGGAAGTCTGTCAAATAGGTAATCTTGGTAAGATATGTTGCTCTCCATTGCAGGGCTGTGGCTATGCATCTGCAAGCCTGCCTTTTTTTCATCGAGACATTGTTTTTCCTTGGGGGTCCGACACCTTTCACGTTGTACCCAATGGGCTCAACAGGGAGGGTTTTTTGATTGTGCCACCAGTGTTCCCAGTGATTGGTTGCTCTTGGCCTTGAGTCTGCTTTGGTCCTAGCACTGTTATCATCCAGTGCTTAACCGTTGGGTTTTTGGATTCCGTTGTCTTTGGACCAGGATGCGTCTGGTTTTTTATGCCTCCCAAAAGACACCTCCATTATCAAGGTTACCTTCCAGCATTCTGTTATATGGTACCTCAGAGCACTATAATGACCCCTGTAGAGGTGGAATACTTCCTGTGGCACCAGTGCATGTACAGGGTGTACATATATCATCTTGCCTAATTGCAACAGTAAGCAATTCTAGGCAGTCAGGAATGTTACATCTTTGTTAACAGCATAATGACTACAGTATCTCAAATTTTGCAAAAACAGAAGATATTGGTCGAGTAATTACAAAAACCATATTGACCTACCCTGGCTTTGTGCCCTGGAGCGGACATTTCAGCCTCGACAACCCGAGCGCAGCTCCATAGTTTCCCCGAGACTGAGGCCTACTACTACTACTAATTACTGTACATATATTTACCTGAATTTACCTGACGGCCACTAAAACACTAGTGGCCTCAATGAGGACAGGAAACCAACAGCTTGTCAAAGGTTCCCCCCCCCCCACTCCGCCTCATTTGCCCTGATAATTTATTTCCAGCTGGATTTTATTAATTAAGATTTAACAGAGTTTTGGCAGTTACGGCTTCGGCGGGTAGGCAGTTCCATGGGTTCATAACTCTTTGGGGGAAAATGCATCTGTTTTCAGTCCTACATTGTGGCTTGAAACTGTTGCTCCTTGTTTGTGTTACATCTGACCTTTTGAAGAAATTATCTGAACCAACATCCTCTAAATTGTTCAGTATTTTAAAAGTTTCAATGAGATCTGCCCTGTTATGCCTGGTTTGCAGTGTTGTTAGCCCTGTGGCCCTCAACCGTTCCTGGTATGGGAGTTGACTTAGTTCTTGAATAATTTTTGTTGCCTGGTGTTGTACTTTCTCCAGAGCAGCTATGCCCTTCTGAAGATGAGGTCTCCATGCTTTGATTCAGTAATCCAAATGGGGGCACACCAGAAATTAATATAATTGAATCGCTATCTTCTTTTCGTTAAAGTCACAGGTATGCTTGATTGTTTATACATATGAGGAAGTTAGAAAGTGCTAGTAACATATAATACAAGAATGTATAATAACAGATAGATTCGCTCCAGCAGGCATTTGATATATTTAATAGCAAAATTAGAAATAACGAAATTTAGCAAATATATGGCTATTAATGTGTTGTGGAGCAATATGCGTTAGAGAACTATACATTTTGTTTTAGAAATTTATTCAATATTAATTATAACCGTTCCACTGGTGTTTGTTAAAACCATGTTATATAGAGAAATAAAAGAAATAGTACTGTAACTATCACCAAAGATAGAGAAGTTTGTGAATTTAGAAAATTATATTTATTACTACCCAGTATAGTACTGAAATATCTTTGATTTTTGTATACAAACACATTATCATGAGCTCAACACTAGAATTAATATGGTAGAAATTAATTCAAACTTGATCCAATTACTCAATACCCATACTCATACCCAAAATTAGAAATAAAATGGCAAGCACAGCTCTATAAATCACAAATTATGCACTTTATATGAATACTTTACTATAACATGAATATAGCAATGAATGGCACTTTAAACAAATATTATAGATTACAATTTGAAAGTACCGTACATATAATTCTAAATTTTTTTTTTGTTAAAATAGTAAGCCTTTGATCTGTGCGAGTTTGCAATATGTGAATTCAGAGCAGCACAATTTAGTTGTAACACAAACCCTTAAATAGCATTACAGTGGACGTGCCCATTCACAAAATTCACGAATCACAATGATTTGACGAGTTTTAACAACCTAAATTCTATACCCTGACTACATGACCCATCATTTAAAGTTAACTTTGCTCTATGCAAATTCACTTTGTACAGGTTTATTCTTAAAAGCATTCCTCATGCACATCAGGGCCAGACTATAAAACACTGTACTATACTGAAATAAGATAAAGGTCAAAAACATCCGATTCAATCATTTTATAGAAAAAACTAACCCGATAACAGAGAGGTAGTTCCATCGATACCAGATCAGACTCCAATCGAAAAAGTAAGAGCGGCAACTCCTTTACAGATGCAAAGGATCCCCGCACGCCATGTTCTTGTAGTCTGCGCTCACACAGGAGAGAGATCCGTGGCACTAACCATAGATGGTAGTCCTTCTTTGCATTTCCCTGAAGATCTTCCCTGGTATGATATAATAGAATATTTGTTATACACGTTATTTACTGTTCTCAAATGCAAATTCTCTTCATTTCCAAATAATATCTTATGGTTATTATTGGGAATCATACATTTAATGTTGGATTTTATTTTATATATACAGAATATGCATCTTAGCAGATATAGATGTACTCAGTACAGAGTACTGTACTGAGTTTATTGAAAAACAGTACCCTTTTTCTGGGGGAGCCCCTTTGGCTTCCCAGAGCTATCCAGGCTGATATGAATGTATTAGACCCTGGTATCAGTCAAGGCGAATGGAGTTCTAGGCCTACCAGGGACCACGAGCCAGAACCTGGTCCCCCTCAGAGAGGCACGAGGAGCAATGGACTATAGAAACCCCCTGTGTGGTTGAACCATTTTATGTTTGCCATCGACCGGGTCAGGCACCCAGAAAGATAGGCACCCCAAAACAAACCCTATCTGGTTAAAAAATTGCTAGTGAAAGCCGAACTCCCGGTCGACATTTTTTTTATGTGTTTTGACATCCAGCCTCAGAACTGAAGGGTGGATAGCAGGCACACGGGTCTGGGGCTCCCCCTTCCCCCTCCCAGGGAGGGGGGAGCTACACAGACGGCGGCACGGTGACAGTTGTGATGTCATGCTCATTTGCTCATTTTTCGTTTGGGGAGTTCAGTCCCATAATCCGACTTTTGGTAGCAATATTTTAATCAGATAGGGTTTGTTTTGGGGCGCCTACCTTTCTGGGTGCCTGAACCGGTCGATGACAGACATAGAATGCTTCCAACCACATGGGAGTTTCTATAGGCTATTGCTCCTCGTCTCTCTCTGAGGGGGGCCAGGTTTTGACTCGTGGTCCCTGGCAGGCCTAGCACTCCATTAACTTTGACTGATGCCAGGGGTATAATACATTCATATCAACCAGAATAGCTCCGCGGAGCCGTAAGGGCTCCCCCCAGAAACATGATGTATATGAACTACATTTAAATAGCAACATAAGGGTAGTACCCTTGTGGCAACAATTGTTTGCTATACTGTATTTACCACAAGACTAAAATTTCCATTCAACCAGTCACTTGTTTTGTTGCGACTCACTTTTCTGGTTAGTTTTTCTCTTGGTTTCTGATAGATTTCTAATGCCTCGGTTCCCATCACCTCACAGAGACAGCCTGATTCTGGTCCTGGCTCCCAAAAGAAGATAAAGAGAAAGAAGAAAGGAAGAAGAGGGGAGGAGAAGGAAAAAACAGGAGGATGATGATAAAAATAGTCTCCCTCTTTAAAGGATCAACACTTAATACCAGACCACAACATTCTGAATTTACTTGAGAGCCACCATATCTCTAGTGGCCTCAATGAGGACAGGAAGCTGAAAGCTTGTCAAAGGTCCCCCCACCCATTAATTATCCTAATTGAATATACAACAGTAGAACAAAATACCAAAACACTTGGTAAAAAACAAAATGTCTTACATTCTCAGCTGCTGGTTGATTAGGTCCATTATCTGTGTGTGAGGTCGAGCAAGAAAGATGATGTGGGCAACGTTGTTTGGAGGAAGCTTACTGGATGTAATGTAAAACATCTTGCAAACATCGTGTGTTCGTAGAAAGGCATAATCAGCAACATAACTGAAGGTTCCAGCAAGTTTTTCATCCCACACAATAGCCTGAAAATTAAAGACTTGAATATGTTGAAATCCTTATAAAATTACATGGCCATAAATCTATAACATTGACTCATCAATAATACAATGATTGAATACAGTGTTGTTAGCCCTGTGGCCCTCAACCATTCCTGGTATGAGAGTTGACTTAATTCTGGAATGATTTTTGTTACCTGGTGTTGTACTTTCTCCACTGCAGCTATGTCTTTCTGAAGATGAGGTCTCCATACTTGGATACAATAATCTAAGTGGAGGGTGCACCAGAGATTTACACAGTTGAATGACTACCTTCTTCTTCTTCTTCTTTGCAATAGGTGCAGCTTGTATGAAGGTTTTTCCTCCCGATGGCTGCACGAGTGGTGATGTCGAAAGATGCGGCACTCACAATGGTGTATCAATGTTCAGAATTTGGCAGAGATTTGAAAGTTATTGATGTCTTCAATTTGTGTGAGGATAATGAAAGAAATAAACATATGAGTGGAAATGGACTCAGGATGGCAAAGATGAGGAGTTGTGTTAATGGTGGTATCAAAGTAGTGTTGTTTTACAAAAAGTGTGAGGTTAGGCAAGAGCCTGAGTTTGTGAGTCAAAGTATGTTCGGGAGTTAAGTCACAATTCAGATAGGTTAGGATAGATTATGGTTGGGTAAGGTAGAGTACAGTACATTTAGTAATATGTGGTTAATGTGTATAAGGTTTGGTTAGGTTAGTTGAAGATGGGTTGGTATGTTGTCATATTACACATTTTTTACGTATGGGATGTGATTACATCGGCCTTTTTGGCATGGCAATAGTACACTATGTTGAATATCTGGGAGTGGTTGGAGGATGTATCGTGGGAGAATGTAGTTTATGTGGTTTTTCAGTCACGGTGGCAGGTCGTTGGGAGGTTTGTACAGCTGGGGGTTTCTTACTCTTGGTGCCGGTGGTTGGGGTTTGTGGCAAGTCAGCCTGGGCTGGCAAGTCAGCCTGGGGTGGCAAGTCAGCCTGGGCTGGCAAGTCAGCCTGGGGTGGCAAGTCAGCCTGGGAAGTGATTTTAGTAAGGTGTGCTAAGGAGTCATTTAGGAGTTTTTCCATCATCAGTTCAAACGATGCGTATCCAGCAAATGGTAGCTGTGTTAGGGCGGATGCCATTATCTGTAGATGTCAATGGGGGTATCGTTGGATCAGCCTCAGGGATGGGTTGGATTGTGTAAAGAATTTAGTTAGGAGTTGGTCCAGCATCTTTTCTGGTGCATTTTCAATGTGAGTGATAAGAGTCTCAACACGATCGGGACACAGTTGAACATTTTGTGGGAGAGGAATCGATTATTCCTAGGAGTTTGGTTAGTTTTTTACTGCCGCTCCCACTTACCTGCTTGAGACCTGCTTGATGGGGATTCTGGCAGGTCTACTCCCCAAGCCTGGCCTTAGGCCAGGCTTGACTTGTACAACTTTAATGAATGATGGATTCTGAAGGGTATTGACCCACACCACTTACTTACAAGGTCAGAAGTAACACAGATAAGGAGCAATGGCTTCAAGCTCAACAAACCACAAAGCAAGACAGAAAACTGGAGATGCTTCTTCACCTACAGATTATAATGGACCCTCTCGAGGCTGGATAAAATCCCCAAGACAGATGGGGAAACCTTCGCCAAGCCGCTGCCTTCCTGTCCTTGTCGAAGCCATTAATGAGAGGGTGATCCTCCAGCAAATTCATTTGCCTTCTCAAAGACCTCTTGAACACCCAATACGCCCACCCTTCATAACCACTTGTTACTAATATAACACGTGTGAACCAAGCCACAATAACAATCCCATGCTATTACCTTAGAGCCAGGAATACTATCCAGCAGTTTGACCAATTCTATCCGCGTGGTTTCTTTAATTAGAGCAAAATCCACCTTCCCGCCTGTCATTTTCCAGCTTCCATACACACGAAATTCCACAGATCGCAGGAGGCGTGGCGGAGCCCACCAACATCACCCTCGGGATATATTACATTTACTGAATTAATTGTCTCTGTTTACAAGTTGCTCTACTTGCTTCAAGGTGAAAACCTTTACTAATTTTATTGAATTATTTGTATATTATTAACATTAAAATATATTTATTACTATTTTTATTTATTATGTACAGTATTATTATTCAGAGTTGTATTTATTCATTATGCTATTACTGTTCATTTTAATAATACTATTGACTAATGTTGTTAGTATTTTATTTTTATTGTGATTTTTTTGTTACCGTGATACTTTTGTCAGGTAAGTAATGAAAAACAAATAGAATACAGTACTCGAATTTCTCTATCGGTAGAATTCCTTACTTACAATTATCATCCAATATTTGTTTACGATTTGAAACTTGGCTTTGTTTATCCAGAATAATATAATAAAAGCATCCCTACTTGACCCGAACCTATGCAAGAGCAAGACTTGAGCGAGAGAGAATCGAGAGTCTCTAAACCGATTCCGAGAGAGAGGTGTTTCCCCCTACCGGAGTCTATTGTTTACAGCACCTGGGCAGACGACCCGGGGGGTGAGAGGCCTGCTGCTCGCCAGTCTTAGTCAGGAAATCTAACTTCCGGGGCTGTACTCTGCGCTCCTTCCTACACCTGTTGAGAGGTCGCCTTGTCCAAACTCCACCATTTCTGAGTGTGAGTAGAGGTGCTGCCTGTCTGTTCGTCGGGAAGTTCAGGTGTTTGTCTTATGTGGTCAGATGATGCACAATCTGGACAGCCTGATTGGCGAGATTGAGGTCTATACGAGGAAAACATATTTCTTTATCTGTTGGAATACAGAGACCTGAGAAATTACACGTAAATAGTTTCCAAGTGACTTTGAGGGTAATGGCACACGTTTTAACTATTTATACGTATCACTGAGTTATTCAGGAACTATCTAAATATTTCAGAAGTTTTTTAATTTTTGCTACTATGACTTCTTTTTTTGTTTTGTTTTTGAACAACATTCAGTGCAACATTAGGGAAAGGGCAAGTGGAGGTCCAGCAGAATATTGTTGTCAGGGATTATCTATGGTGTGATACCTTTACCATTACCCCCGTGCCCTTCCTCTGCTGAGCTGCTGCTGCTTTCTCCAATAAGTCCCCATTCCTGTTACTTGTTTTCAAGGAGTTTTCTGGTACCACGGTGAGAAGGCATTGTGGAACTAACGAGGGGACCTTAGTCAAGAATATTGCATCGAGTGAAATGAAACGCATCTTGTTGAACTGTTGTTTTGTCCCTCCTTACCCAAGCTTAGTCTTGGATACGCTTGGTTTACAAGGTAGTGTTTTCATCTAGCTGTGGTCATTGTTATGATTGGAGCTTTGGATATTTCAGGATGACCCCTTTTTAAATTTTCAAATGATCACCTACATTTGAAGAGTGTTTTTGAATGTTTTTTTTTCTGGGTGAATTGAGATATTCTCTCCATTGAATTTCCTTACTGATAAGAATGGGGATAAGACAGTTGAAAAAGTATATTTTATGTCTTTTAGGGCATAAGGTTACTTTGGAGCCTGGCTCGAGGAGGTCTTTGTGCTTTGAGGGGTAATTGCAAGAGGCATAGAGGAAGTGCTGTTCAGAAAGGGGCATTTCATTTAACTTGATGCTTTATTTTTATATTAGTCATTAATTTTTATTGTAATTATTAAATGGCTTTATTTTTCAGTGCATCAGTATGACGGATATAAACAAAGATGGTGGACAGTGTGTCTGCTGAGACCAGAATAAAGGAGTTATTAGAAGAGTCTCGTGGCTTCTCGTATCCAGATGATACCAATGGCATTAAACGGCGTTATAAAGACACTGCCTTAATTTTGTTTAAGGTTAGTCATTTTCATTGTCACTGAAATAGCACGTGAACCAAGGTTTTGGAGTGTTGGAAGATAAAATTACTACAGTATTTTAGAAAGGTGTCATTGAAGATGACTGTTTTGTCTGGGTGACCCCTCAGTAACTTCGCTTGTGAAACGTTGCTGACGACGACAACGTTTCGTCTTTGTCTGATGTGCTTTGATGTGCTTGTCTCCATGTATCCTGATGTGCCTTGTCTCCATTCCTACTCTGGGGTTTTCTTGCTGTACAGTTCATTTGTCATACCTGAGGCCTGCCGCTGTCATGCTCAGGTCCTGTTGTAAAGGTTCCTTCTGCCTAGGGTTAGTCCCATACTACTATCATGACAGTATCCGCTTGGGCTGGACGGTAGAGCAACAGTCTTGCTTCATGCAGGTCGGCATTCAATCCCTGACTGTCAAAGTGGTTGGGGCACCATTCCATTCCCCCATCCCATCCCAAATTCTTAACCTGACCCCTCCCAAGTCATAATGGCTTGGTGCTTTCTCCCGATTGTTCATTCCTTCTTTCCTATCTTTCTTTTTCTCTGCTCCTTATCATTATTTTATTGTTGAGTTATCACAAAAGGGCAGGGCTACCTGTGATGGGTATCTGTGGTGAAGTTGCACAAGGAAGCTACTGAAGGGGCTGCCAAAAAAAAGTACATTGAGTGCAATGAAATGCCCCCCCCCCCCTTTCTGAGCCCTGCCTTATTATTATTAGACTACTCTGTTTGCATATGGTATAGCTATCTTTTTCTGTTGCAGTAGGTTGGGCTTGATATTTAGAGTTAGATAACCTACTCCCTTTATCCCAGTGTAGACCAGGCTGCTACCAGGTGGTGTAAGGAAGTCATTGGATAGGTTTGATAGTTGTCAAAGTTTTGATTTGGTTGTTCTGCACTGAATGCAAAATGTTGGAATGTTGGAATGCAAAAATATTTCTTTGAGGAAGGATATTTGTTTTGTGACCTTTCTAATGCTTTTTCCAGGCAGTTTGCCTGTGTCCTGGGTTGATCTCTGATCCGTATATGTACTTTCCACCCAATATAAGGGCAAGGAGGATTTGCAAGGTTGGTAGTCTTTTTGGTGTTCTGTGTTGGCTAGTATTTCTGGTAATGGCCAGAGAAGTAAGCACGGGGAAGCTACCAACGCATCGCTCGAAATGAGGCATTTCACAGCATGTTAATTTTTTTCTTTGATATTGCCAAGATGGTAGTATGTAATAGGGATTGTACTATAAGCCGACAAAGAGTCAATAACACGGCTGAAAATATGATGATCAAACCACACATCAAAGTGAAAAATGTCAGTTTCTTCATTTTTTTTATGTGGTTCGGTCATCTTTAATAGTACTGTACTATAATATGTAATAATAGTATTCTTAAGAGTGGTTAATCGCCACTAAATTGTTATTTCCATTTACAGCAATCCCACGAGGAGGAAAACCCCAAGAATTATCTTTCATTTGGAACACGTAGGTCATCTGCTGTTAGTCAGTATGGTAACACTCCAATCATTGTTCGTCGATCCCGTAGTTCAAATGGTGAGCTTTCAACTGTAGTGGAACAGGTGCCCTCTATACGGGGAAGGTCTTCAGTTAGTGACTATACATTGGTAGAATCAAAGGGAAAGGATGATGATGATGATGATGATACAGACACTGAAGATGAGCTTGAAAGTAAAAAGTTTCAGAAAAGTGAAGAGACAGTAGAAGAAAATGAAAGCAAAGATTCCAAAAATGAAATTAGATCGAAAGATAATAGCCTTCAGATACATGCAAATGAAATTTTGATAAAAAATAAAGCTGAAAACCAAGCAGATTTAACACGAACACAAAAAAATGACGAGACCAATAATGGACTACCGACTCAAGCTTGCGAGAACAGAAAAAGTTTCAGCCATTATGACTTGCCAATACAGAGGAACAAGGATCATGATGAATTGGAGACTAAAAGTTGTGAAAAGGAAATTGAAGAGAAGAATGAAAGAAAAGTTGAAGAAATTGATCATAAAGCAAAATTAGAAAATGGGAAATTAGCAAACGAAAATGAGGACCTTAGGAAAGTTTCTGAAAAGGAAGAATTACCTAAAGTTGAACATGACAATATAAATGACACAAAATGCCATGAAAGTAAGAGCTGTCTTGTCTCGGAGGGCAATAAAGGTAGCCAGAGTACATTATACTATCAAGAGAGTGATTCAAAAACCAATACATCTCAAGATGTAATTGAAATTGCAAAGCCAGACTGCCCCGATATAGATCACGAAGCTGTACTGAGAGCTTATGTTCAACAGTCTGCTGCAATAAATAAGTCGCTACAGGAAGGGCTAAGTAAATCTTGTTATTCAGATAGTTATCAAGAAAAATTACCTTCTGATAATAAATATGTTGAATTAAAGATAGTTGAATCTGTGGATAAGCCTCTAAACAGTGGTTTAGATAAAGGTTGTAGTACAGTTACAAAAAATGCTCTTACTACCGATATATTGAAATTTGGTGAGGATGATGATGTAATATTTATTGATGCAAATTCACCTTTGCTTGCGAGAACAAAGGCCAGATGCGAATCGTCCATCGATTCAAGTCAGGAATTGCTGAAGACACAAGATAATGCAGAAAGTTGGTCAATAATAACTACACCCACTCCAAAACATAAAGATCAAAATCTTTGCAGATCTTCTCCTCCTTTAATTGAAAGATCTTCAAAGCCTGAGAGCCCTCAGTATCTAAAAGGAGATAGCGTAGAAGATGTAAGTAAATATCTTGAGACAGAAAATCACAGTGGGCTTCTTGATCTGCCAATGAGATGTCCCACACCTCCAAAGAGAAGCCCCAGAAGATCTCCTAGAGTGCCTAAAGAAAATGACAGGAATAGGCAGGGCTGTTCATCTTTAGTTCTTCCTTCAGATGATAAGACAGAAGAATCTTATCCAAAGGGAACTAAATCTGCATCACCCACTTCAAACTCTAAGGAAGCATCAAAATTTTTCTCTTTCTCTCTCAAAGGAGAGAAGAGCAAAAGTTCTTCATCTCTAAGTTCTAAAAAAGGCAAAGATAGAGACAGAGTATCTGCACCAAGAATTGAGGGCAAAGGCCTTCCAACCCAGGCCTCTGGTGTTATAAATTCTGTCACTGAAACTGATTCAAAAGTTGGTCAGCTTGAGACGTTTGGGAAAAGAGTTGGTGTTCGTAGTATGGTAATTGATGGTACAATTAAACGAAATTTTATTGTAATCCATCCATCTGATGACTCTGAAACAGTTGGACTTGCTCCATTGTCCTCTGCTTCCAATGGTAAAGAGAATTCTGTGTATACTTCAACAGCATTATTAAGCATGAAAACCCACTTATCTGAGCCGAAAAAAGATAATCTTGAATCGGTGAAGAGAATATCTTGTAAAGCAGACCTAAAGGAAGAGCTGTCAGGTATGTCTGTAAATGATGGCATTTCTTTGAATATCGGGCAAATGTCGAAAAGTTTAAGAATTAAGAAGAAAATTACTGGACGTAAAATTGTGGGAAGCTCTCAGAGTTTATCAAGTGAATCGACAAGCTTTAGTTTTGCAGATTCACAAGCAATTTACAGGTCTTCACTTGTCTTGCCTGATGTAGATACCAGCTCTGTTGTTAAATCTTCACAACACTTAAATAATAGCTCGTCTAGAACGGTATCAAAACTTTGTGTAGTCATGTGAATGGTTTCAAACTTTTATTTCTATGGTACTGTTTATTAAGCAATACCAGTTCAGTGTACTTTTTAAGTAGCATGTCAAATAGCAAAAAAATATGTATATATAATATATATTTAAGCATTAATGGTAATGGTTGCCTAGCGGATATTGCTATTTGAACTTATTAGTAAATATTTGGTATTATTGCAAAGTTACAAACGACAAAATGCATTTTTTTTTTTTTGTGGTAGTTAAAACATGATTGTCACAAGGTATTTCAATTGTGATCCTAGGTGTTGGGTCACATCCAGGCAAACCAGTGAAAAAAAAAGTAATTATGAAGATGAAACTTCCAAATTGATCTGATGGAGTTGTCGAGTATGGTCTATAAAAATATTATTTATAAATATTATGATTTTTTTGTTTTGTTAATAGAATTTTTTTTCTTTATTCACAAAGCTGTAATTTTATTGTCTTGTTCTTTTGCCTGTGTGAATGAATTTTATTTTTTGTTTTAGATGGGGTATATGGTAATAAAATGTTTAATGAAAAATGAGTGCATGTTTGCAGGAAGTTTGAAAATGTTCTATGTTGATATTCTCATTTATTTGATTTGCAAGCTATGATTTTTTCACGAGTCGTCGTGAGGATATATTACATGCCACCTTCACGGTTCGTATATATTTAATATTAACCACTGCACTGCGCAAAGCGCCTTTAGGCGCTCAGAGAGTTGTGCTTTTTGTTTTTTAATTTGGCTATATTTTAATGTTTTTTAATGTTTTCATTACTATTTGTGTTTTGAAATGGAAATAGTTGACTTTGGAAACATTTTGACATTAAATTTACCTGAACATTTGTAAAAATAACAAAAATATGTCCTTGACAATTGCACCAAGACGTTTTTGCCGAAAATAGGTGAGCAGTGCAAGGGTTAATAGGATGGGGGGGCAGAGATAGACCGGAAATATAATTAATAAGAAAAAATAGTTGCTCGTGAAATTAGCGTATTGAATGTTGTATTGTTTTCTCCCATAATGTATATTGTTGACGAGCTGCAGGAAAGTGTGTGTGTATTTGGCATACTTTGCCTGTGTGTTTTAGGCATATTGGAATATGGAAGCGTGCTAGAAAGGATGTCTATCACGATTATGGAGCAAAAATGGCAGAGTCGGTGACAATTTTTATCAGATACAAAGTGAATGTGGTTGTGAAGTCAAGCTCAATTTTAGCAGTAGAGGTTGGAAACTGATAATTAATTGAAGTCGCTTTAAGATGAGGTAAATATGTCGGTACTGAAAGCATTTCAAGATGAATTTTAAAACAAAATTCAGTTGCTTTGCTTGTACAGCACTGTACTATATATAGGGGGGGATATTGAACATTTTAAATGTAAACCCTGAAGAATGCTGCACCTTGATACCACTTGACAATTGGAGTTTTTTTTCCGAATTACACACAATATTATATTTCCTTTTTAAACCAATTATGCTGCCTTTTCATATTAAAAAAGAGTTATCACCAGTGTAACAATGCTGACTGCACATAGTGTACTGTACAAATATAATTTGCTATCTAAGGTTGCCACTAATGAAGTTCTGACCATTCATGGGTCGCAAAAACATGTCTTTGCACAATCTTTTTTTTCTAGTCTTGTGTAGATTATATCTCATTTATCATTAATTTTGTATACGTATAAAGACGGTACCTATCATGCCAGTAAAATAATCCCCCATTTCCTTGTGGTAGTTGCAAGGTACCTATCATGCCCGTAAAATAATCCTCCCTTTCCTTGTGGTAGTTGCAAGGTACCTATCATGCCAGTAAAATAATCCTCCCTTTCCTTGTGGTAGTTGCAAGGTTCTATGTCCTCGTGACCTGCTCTCTCGTCCTCTTCCACCCCCTGGTGGAACAAAACCGAACACCATAAACATTTCTCCACTCAATACATCACTTGGATCTTTCTCATATCATTACATCTTTATTAAGTGTTCTCTAATCAGTGGTACCATTTCTTTGAGACGGTGGGTGATATTGGAGATATGGTGTGCATCTGTTTATTCATTTTTTGGCATTTTCTCTATAACAAATGTAGGTAGTGGCCTGGAGGTGGCTTCAGTAAGTAAAAGTAAGGAATGGTAACCAGGATGATGATCATCTTGTTAGGAGAGAAGGGTTTAAAATCCAGCTCTATATGTTTTTTGTCTCTTCAATTTATGGTTTATATGTAAAATCATTATTTTATGCACAAACTAGATTAAGGTAAACAGTTTTGTTGCGGTTGATTATTTAACAGGAATGGAGATGACTAATGGTTTTGTATACAAGGATAACTCAAGATGTAATCCTTCCTGGAGAAAAATAATACCACTTTAGCCTCCAGTGTCATTTTTAGTTTATATTTTAAGTGGCTAATGTGGCACAAAAGACTGCCTTGCCATATTGACTTTAAAATTAAAATACTGAAATATTTTAAACAAAGAGAGTGGCTATTATAATTTTGCAGTGTTTCCTCATGGTAGTTTTGGTTTTATTGATGTGCAAAATCTTTGTTGTGTTCACTTGAAACCAGCACCACTTACCTTATGTATGATCAATACAACTGGGCTTTTTGTTATTGGGAAGTGTAGGCCAATGGCAACTACACATCAACCTGTAACTGCTCTTTGGTAATTACATGTTTTCTTCTTAGCCTTAGGAGTCATCATTCTGACTTGAAATCTAAAACATGTATGATGATAAAGCTAAGCTTATTTTAATTTTTAGGCAGCTGCTGCTTTTATTTGATAATATTTAGGTTCACTGCGATATAATATTTTAAAATGGGCAGGGTGTGTCTAGTTTTATGTCTAGTGACGTTAATCCCTGACTACAGCACCTGCCAGCTCTACCCCAATCTCCGTCGCTCCTACACCACCACCAATAACCAGTCACCCTTACACTATCACCCACCACCACCTCTACACCACCATCACCCCTTCACAACCATCCATTACCACACTTCTACTCTCAACTTTCACCAGATCATCCCACCTTCAGCCACATCCTTACCCTCAAACACCTGTTACATCAGTGACGCCACCATTTATATACCCACCCCATTCTCATCCACATTCACTATGCACTTATGTGCCCACACTTTTTTTTTTTTTTTTTTTTTTTTTAGATATATACAAGAGTTGTTACATTCTTGTACAGCCACTAGTACGCGAAGCGTTTCAGGCAGGTCCCTGGAATACGACCCACACGAAGAATCGTTTTTACAACCAAGTACCCATTTTACTGTCGAGTTAAACAGAGGCTACAGTTAAAGATTTGCGCCCAGTAAATCCTCCCCGGCCAGGATATGAACCCATGACAAAGTGCTCGTGGAATGCCAGGCTAGTGTCTTACCACTACACCACGGAGACTTCAACCCCAACCATTTATTCATCCATACATCCAGCCACATATTCAAACATCTACTTACCCTCCTTAGCATAATGAGAGCAACCACTCTACCATCTGCCTCTACTAACGCAGTCAAATTCCAACCATACCGAACCAGCACCCACTGTTCCCAGTTTTCACAGTAGCTACTTGTTTGCCCCATACTGTACTTTTTCCCCCATCCCCGCTCTAGCAATACCCGCCCTTCTGGCACCCATGCACCGACAACCACCCACTCTTGCATCAACCACATAAACCACACCCATTGCTTTCCCCCCTCTTTATGACCATACTTTAATGTACTTTACATATAGAGATAAGAGGAAAGGAGTATTTTCATTTAAAGTGTTCATTATATTGTTTATATCATAAGCTATGCCCGACATAAGGACCAGGAATACCTCTAATTGGCTGCAGTCTAACCACGTCTGGATCTTCCCTTCTCCATTTTGTCCCTTTCCTCTCCCTCCTTCCCTTGCACACACTGTTTCTGTTTTGTGTGACTCATCAAGGAAAGAGTTTGTCATATCTGTATTGCTCACCAGTGCCAAGTCTGTACCTGTTTGTCTCCCGAGTTATCTCTAATATAGGCCTAACTTATCGTGTTTGCTGTGTATCATGTTAATGAAACTATCTCATTATACTGTACATAATATTTTTTTATGTAGCAAAATCAGTTTTATTTAAAATAGTCTAGCTTACCCATAAGGTTCCTAACAGTTCAGTACTACATAATGTCTAGGAATGCATCCCTACTTAGTACTGGGAGTTGAATGTTCTAAACTGTGAATGACTAGATGAGGAGAGGAGGAAATGTCTAGCTCTGTGCTTCGTCTCATCTCTTGTATCCGGTGCACCTCTAAATCACATTATAGTATCCCTACATTTGCTGTCAACGTTGCATTTCCGGCTTCGTACCTTCTTTTGATAATTGGTCTGTACGTTTTTGCTTTTAAAGCTGTGGATGGCGATGTCTTCCATAACTTCTTTCAGTTCATTCCAATTGTTGACTAATCATACATAGTACGAGTAGGGAAGAGCACGTATGGTTGGCTTCCCCCCCCCCCTTTCCCCTTAGTTACACAAGTAACTAAAACTTACATATTTCAAGAAAACATACGTTGAAATTAAAATGTCAATCTGTGAAATAAGCACCACAGCCTAATGTGTATACTCATTCAATTTGATAACGTCAATTTTCACGTTACATCGCTCATTTTGGTATCAAATTGTGCGCATTTTAAAGGCGCTTATTTTGAAACTATCCCGAGGTCGATTGGATAAAAAATGATTTTTATACAAATATTTTTGTAGTGGAGGCAAGTCCTGTCCATGGCTAGGACTCGGGAGTAAAAAAAAAATGGACGCGGGTCACGTCCAAAGAGAACGATAGTGTTAAAAAAGCTGTCTTGACTATAGCAATATATATGGTTTCAATCTCCCTGAAATCCTACCGAGTCTGTGGCTATGTGTTGGTCCAACAAGTGTGTACTAAGCACTTGCTTACTATGAATAGTTTTCTAAGACAGCTATGAGGAGGGAGACAAGTGTAAGAATGGGGGGGGGGGGGAGGGTGGACCACACCTGCTCCTATACTGCCCGTTCTTAAAGTTTCACTACTTGCCGCCTATTCTTGCATTTCTGCCAATGTTGCCATACAACAACTTGTTTCTGTTTGTCTTTTTTCGTTGATGTGCAGCGTCTGGAGAATATTGTACCTTAGGGTGTTCACTCGAAAGGATTTGTCAGGTTTTGATAATGTAATAAAGTAATGGTAATGATAAAGTACCGATTCATCATTTATCATAGTCTACTCCCAGTTTAATGTAGAAACGTTTTTCAAAGAACTCCACAGTTCGCTGATATGCTAAGAAATTTAAGGATCCTAACACAAAAATAAGATGTTCCAAGATAGAACTTTATTACATTCACAATATTTTTATTACAATGTTTATCATTAATGTTTAACAGTACAATGCAACACGGTTAAATATATGCAATGTAATTATTTGTACTGTAAATGTTAAAAGTAAAGTACAGTACTACACAGTTTATGATGGTGTAACAAATTTGGAGTGGTGAAGCATTATAGGGTACACTTAGTTAATATGAACATATTACTAGGGGTGCCTGTGGGTCATTTAACAAGAAGTGCCATGTAAGGGTGAAATAAAAGAGTAATAGTGTAGTGGCAGACAATCAGGGGCCAGAGTCACGAAGCAGTTACGCAAGTACTTACTAACGTGTACATCTTTCTTCAC